TCAGCCAGATGGGTAACAATGGAGAAGGTGCCGGAAGCTGGCGATACACAGTTGCTTCAGAGATAAACCCTGCGAGAACTCAAAGGCTTGCTGTATCCTAATTGATCAGGGGTGCTCCAGGACACCCCAAAGTAAGAAATCTACCACCCCTTGCACTCCCTGCCATCAGCAGCAGCAGGAGACACAGCCTGACACTGCCAGTTGTATAGCCTGAGGACTTAGAAACCGCCACTCGGGTGTAGCCAAGACCTCAACACGCCACAGACAGGGGTTTTAGGACAACTGGATAAGAGATGAATATAGAGGTGCTAGCTTTCTCTATAATGAATGGCTGGGACACCAAAAGGGAGACAAGCACAAATTATATCTGTGTCAGAGAGCAACTACTGGGACCCAAACATTTGGAACCCACAGGAAAAGTCAGGTAGGGACGAGAAGGAAAATGAGGCTAAAGCAGGAGAAGATGCATTCAACTTTGACCTTTAACACGGAGAGGAAAAGTCCACGATTAGGCATAGCTCAGTGATTGAAACCACGAGAGGGGGCAGACTGCATTTGAACTGCTTGAGTGGGAAGTGAAAAGCAGGAAATGAAAGACCCTCTCCCAGGCCAGCTTGGAAACCAAGGGAGCAGATGGGATTCGTCTGGGCGATGTGAAGGTGCAGGAGTTGAGTACTGTAACTACGCATCCCTCCTAAGACAGATAATGTATCACATGAGAAAACAGAAATCCTGGTTGTTTAGCTCAAACAGACCATTAGGGACACTCGGTTGTCACTGGTTGAGGTCTCCATGAATATCAGGTGTTGCAAATATTTATTTACACCATGTAAAGATATGTCACTGTGATTGGTTTAATGAAAAGCTAAATGGCCAATAGCTAGGAAGGAGGTACAGCAGGGACTTTTAGACGGAGAGCTCTGGGAAGGGGGAATCAGCAGCCGGATGCAGAGGGAGCAAGACATGCAGGAGAGGTAAAAGTCATGAGTTATATGGCAACACATAAATAGATAGAAATAGAAATGGGTTAATTTAAGTTCTAAGAGTAGTGGGACAAGACTAAGCTATAGGCCAAGCTTTTATAATTAAAAATAAGTCTGAGCTGGTGGCCCAAAGGAAAATCTGCCTACAATTGGGACCTGGATGACAGTGGGGGGGGGGGGGGGACAGGCATTACAAAGGGAATGGAGAATGGGAGATGTAGTGTTTGGCACCCAGCTCACTGGGCCTGAGAGGACTGTGTCACAGGAGGGGGGGAGGTTGATTCAGTAGGCATCCCTGGACTGGTAAAGCACCCTAATGACCTTTCTGAACCCCAAGATAGAGCCTGACCTATAAAAAGAACGGGACGCCCTGGTGGATCTGAGTGACTGAGACCAGGATATAAACCAATGCCAGAGTGCTAAAGCAGACAACAGATAAAAAGCAAAGGGGTCTTATCCGGGTCGCTCAAAATCAAATATGACAAGATTTGTGTTGAGCTGCAATTTTTGTTTTTTGAGCCAGGATCTCTCTATGTAGTTCTGGAACTTACTATGTAGACCAGGAAGACCCGAAACTCACAGAGATCTGCTTGCCTCTGCCTCCTGAGTGCTGGGGTTAAAGGCGTGCACTGCCATGCCTGGCAAGATGAAATTCTTGGGAGCAGAAGCAGAGATACGAAGCCAAATGTGCCGGACAGTGGTGACGCATGCCTTTAATCCCAGCACTCGGGAGGCAGACGCAGGTGGATCTCTGTGAGTTCAAGGCCAGCCTGGTCTACAAGAGCTAGTTCCACTAGTTCCAGGACAGGCACCAAAGCTACAGAGAAACCCTGTCTCGAAAAAAAAAACAAAAAACCAAATGCTATGCTAGTGAGCTCCTATAAGGCTTTAGTAGTGTAAGGAAAACAATTCAAGGACTGCATAAATGATCAAAAGGGTGTAGGTAAAAGAGAGTGAACCTGTCTCATGGGTGGGCAGCTACCCTTGAGGAGGATAATCCTCAGATTTCAGTGGGTATGGGGAAGCATGTATGCTGAGGGGAGACACTATTTATCCAGCTTGAGGACCTCTCGGCAGTCAGGTGGGACTGAGGGAGGCAGCAGCCACAGCGCAGTACCAGCCCAGAGTGTGTCAGACTCCTGAGCAGCGGGTGGAGCCCTTCAGCTGGCTCCACTGGGCGTGGGGAGGTGAAATGTTGCCCGTGCAGTGCCCCAGGATGAGAAGGCAGAAAGGGTTATAGAAAATGACTATGGATGATAGAACACTAAGTTGGATACCTCCCATACGTGCCATTGTCCCTACCACTGCTCTTCTGAGGAGACCACGGATACAAGCAATGCTCTCTTTCCATGTTGTATTGGGCTTTGCTAACAGCTTTCTCCAGCAACCTCTTAACTGCCAACCTCTGAGACCTGCTGGCACTTGCCTGGAATGGAGAGCAGTGGCTCTTGATTACACGGATGACACAGTACTGGTTTCTGAAGGTCTCAGAGATTTGTAAAGGCGTCTAAACAAGTTAAAGGATTTGGAAGACGGCACCCATACTCCCCCAGAAGCCACACAGTTGTTAATCCCCAGTCGCTGGGGATGAACCACTGATATATCCAGGAAGACCCCTGGATAAAGGCACCACCTCTGCTGCATGTCAGAACTAGATTATTAAATTTCTGCTGCTAAAGACACCATATGCTTTTGTTGTAGTACATAGGTGATTCATGCCAGGACTGCACTGGAAGGCCCCTCTATGCTCAGCTAACTTTTTAAAGTGCTTGCAAGATACTATGCAGGCTATCTCAGTTAGGGTTTCTATTGCTGGGAAGAGATACCATGACCACTGCAACTCTTATAAAAGAGAACATTTGGGGTGGCAGCTTACAGTTTCAGAGGTTTAATCCATTAACACCATGCAGGGAGCATGGTGGTGTGTAAGCAGACATGGTACTAGAGAAGGAGCTGCTACATGTTGGTATCAGGCAACAGGAAGTAGACTGTGACACCAGGCTGTAGCTTGAGCATAGAAAACCTTAAAGCCCACCCCCTACAATGACACATTTCCTCCAGCAAGCCCACACCTCCTTACTGTTCCACTTCCAGTGAGATGATGGGGGTCAATTACATTAAGCTTCACACAGGCTGCTGAGGCAGAACTGTTGGCAGTAGGCTTACACCTATTTGGTTGCACACACTGTCCACTACACTACCAAGACACCAGGGCAGACTGGACTGCTGGAGAAACGGCAGCACAACAGCTATGGGTAAACAACCTTCTGGTTGGATTTAAAGCCTTCTCCAGAGGGAAGAAGTGCACGGGGCACTGTAAAGCTGGACAGAGATCTGCGACAAAGCAGGTCAATAGGTCCCAGAGGAGAAGCAATTGCTCTTTTTTAATGACTGTAATATGCCTACCAAATTGCCTTTGAGTACTGTTATTGTCTGTCCTGATAGTAAGAAAACTCGAGTTTACTCAAGAGACTTATGACTGGTTAAAATGCCAAGAATGACCGACTTAGGAAGGTGTGGTGGCCACTTTGTCTTGTGGGTGGTGAAAAGGCAGGTGAAGACGGTGCCCTGTTAGTGTGGAATGTTGAAATAATGGCAGGTGGTAAATGCTCTGAGTGAACAGTTCATGTCATTTCTCCCACAGGAATACAGACCTGGGAGCCTGGAGAATGAAGATGGGAGTAACACTGGAGGAAGTTTTGCTTCCTACTGCTCACCTTCTGTGGAACAAGCTTTTGGTACACTGTAAATGTGCATTACTCTCGTTAGTTAATGGAAAGGTGACTGGCAAATAGCTAGGCAGAAGAGTTAGGTGGGACTTGCAGACAAAAAGAGCTTGAAGTAGAAGGCAGAGTCAGCAATGACACTGAAGATGAACACGCCATGTTGAAAAAAGGCACCATCACGTGGTAGAGTGTAGATAAGAAATACGGGTTAATTGAAAATATAAGAGCTACTTAGTAATAAGCCTAAGCTATCAGTCGAGTATCTATGATTAACAAGTCTCTGTGTGGTTATTTGGGAGTGGCTGAAGGGACAAAGCTGACCAGCAGTTCTGAAGAAAAACCCCACCTACACCTCCTCTTCTATTTTATGTGTTGGCAGCACACTGGCCTTAAAAATTAGTTAGTTGTGGCCAGATCTCAGAGCTGGCCTCAGTCCTAAAGAGATCTGTGTGATACCTGGACACCCTAGACTACTGAACATGAACCTTACCAGACTCCCAGAAGACGAAGCATCTTCTAATGGAAAATATCTTACATCAGGCAAGTGCATTAAATTCTATTTCAGTAATTAAATGGGGGAGGAAAATGAGAACAAATCCAGAATAGCCAGAGAATAGGCTCTATGTGCTAACCGCTTCAAGGATTCTGCCCAGGCACTCAAGGAGGGAAAAGATGAAAAAAACAGATCACTCACAGGTAGGTAGGGGTGTTTGTGTATGCACACACATGTACACACATGCATTATATATGTATCTCTGACATTAGGGCTTATCTTTTTACTACAGGGGACTGAAGAACCCTAAGAACAGTGTCGTCGTTCCTTGAGCTTCAGTATAGTGGCTCATCTCTGGGTTGCTTTACCTTGTCCATTTGTCCCAGCCCTTCTAAATCAGAGTAACCAAACACATTAAATTCCCTTTGAAAACCAGAACTGCTTTGTTGTCTAACCTGGGCTCTGACTAATAAAATATCACATATTTAAGTATTTCTGGGATAACTTTAATTGATCATGATGAATTTTGCCCTTCTTATATTATGAAAAAGTTTTAAACACTATATCCACTAACTATATTTACTGTTTCAAAAAGACTGCCATTTTACTGAATCCGTATATATGCGGCTATTTGTGTGACACACTTACACATATACTTGACTTTCTACTCATTTCTGGTGAAGGGCCCCAGAATCGAACGTGGTATATATATATGAGTAAGTTATATAGTGGATATAGCCATGAGAAACAAGTCTGACATCTAAGAGTTAGTGAATGAAAAAAGAAAACGACCACACATAACAACAATACTTAAACTTTATTCTTCCCTTCCTGTGTGCTCACTTTCAAATGAACTTTCCAACCTCACACGTTAAGAAAATAAACAACGGGAACCACTCTGCACTCTGACACGGAGGAGGCAGACGGCTCTGTCAACAGGCACAGAGTATATAACACAGCCATCGTTCACTGGGAGGAGGGAAGGAGCCAAAAGTGCTCCATTTAGCAGTGTGTTGAGTTGGAAACACTCGGCGGTTGCTACGGGCTGGTATCATGACTCCTGCAGTGTCCCAGACCATACCATGAGCTTTCCTTAGGAAAACCATCTCTCCTCAGATACAACCATCACAGGTTAAGAGCCACAAGACTTTATTCATTGTTTAATCTTCTGGTGGCAGGATTTCTGAGTAGAATCTAAAATTAAAGCAGAATAGAATTTGTTATAAAACTTCTGTTAAGAATTTTTAATTTTTAATAACTTCAAAATGCCACCACCTCAGAGGTTTGGGGAAAATATTGAGTTATAATGAAAATAGGTTAGGTTTAAGAAACTTTCACATAAAGTATTATAGAGAGCAAATCCTAATTGGTAATGACTGGAATGTAAAATATCCTTCACAAGACCGCATGTCTTAATACTCAGTCTCAGGCGGGGACAGGTTTAGGAGGGTGTGCACCATTTTTGAGATGACGCCTTGTTGGAGGAAGTAGTTTACTGGAAGCAGGAAGTGAGATTGTACAGCCTGTCTTCACTTCCTGTCCCATCTCTGCTTCCCAATCTGAACAAGCGTGCGAGCAGCCACACACTCCTGCTCCCGCCTCAAGGTGCTCCAGGCAGCAGGCGCACCTGCCATGATGGACTATCTCCAAAACAAGTTGTCCGTGAGTGCCTCTTATCAGGATATTTGGCCAGTGATCAATTTTCTAACACAGAGAATTGGTGCTAGAGAGTGGAGCCCTTGCTGTGAAAACCATGGCTATGCGGCTGGTAAGGCCACTGGCCAGACCCTTTGAACAATTTGCAAGAACAGAATGCTGCAAGCAGAGCTTAATGGACAAACCCAGTAAGAGGAGATTTTGGACTTTTAAAACTTTAGGACCTTGGAGACTTCTAAAGGTAGACTTCATTTTGCATTAAGAGATGACCACGAGCTGGGTCATGGGTTTCTACGGTTTCGTACAAAAGGTCTCCCACAGGATCACGTGGTAAACACTAGGTTCTCAGTTGGCGGTGCTGCCTGGGGAGGCTGAGCTGTGCTGAAGAAGTGGGTCACTGGGGCAGGCCTTGAGGTTCTCCAGCCCACCAGCTGCCTGTCCTTGCTCCACTTTCTGATCCACCTGGATCTGAACAAGAAGTCGCACGAGCCGTTCCTTCTGCCGTGCCCTCCCTATTAACTGCTTCTTCTCAGATGCTTGATCACAGTGATGGGACAGTAATCAATACAATTATCTTTACATTGCCCTACCAGTGTAAGAGGACAAAAAGATCCACCTAGCGACTGAACGGACTTACCCACCACAAGCTGCTAAGTGCGTATGTATTGCATGTACTCATGCAAACTAAAAATACTAAGCTGAAACTAGCATATTTTTTTTTTGTTTTGAGGCAGCACGTTGCTTTAGCACCCTGGGTAGCCTAGTACTCCCTGTGTGGACCAGTCTGGCTTCAAACTATTGGCAACCCTCGTGCCAAAGCCTGTCTAGGGCTAGGATTACTCATGAGTACTGCTGTACCAACTTACTAGCAGGCTTTTCTATGCCTCTTATGTTTCTAAGGTACAGTAATACTATTTTTAACAAGCACTTTCTTACCTGGTGGCAACCCCCCGAGTCTTTGCTGGATCATTTCTAAATGATGAATATATTCTGTCAAGGAATGTTCTGCATCTTGAGAAGCAGCCAGGGATCTTTCTAACCTTGAATTTGGTGAGGAAGTTGATCTGCAAACAAAGGACCATAGCAAGGAGAAAAGAAAGGAAGAAAAAAATCAAAACAAAAACATTAAATTAACAGGTGGTGTTACATCAAAAGCACATAAGAGGAGGGCCTGGGATCAGCTGACCAGATCCAGAGGAGGATCCGGGATCAGCTGACGGATCTGGGATGGGTCTCCACTAGGGCTAGTCTCTTCATGTCCATTATTTACCACAAAGAAAACACGTTTTTTTAAAATATTTATTTATTTATTTATTTATTTATTTATTATGTATACAATATTCTGTCTGTGTGTATGTCTGCAGGCCAGAAGAGGGCACCAGACCTCTTTACAGATGGTTGTGAGCCACCATGTGGTTGCAGGGAATTGAACTCAGGACCTTTGGAAGAGCAGGCAATGCTCTTAACCACTGAGCCATCTCTCCAGCCCGAAAACACGTTTTTATTTGGAAAAAAAATCAACTTTTAAGGTCCAGTACAGTGGTATACTCCTGTAATCCCAGGATATGGGAGACAAAAAAAAAAAAAAAAAAAAGAGGGCGGAACTCTGAGAGTTAAGGCTAGCCTGGTCTATACAGTAGGCTGGAGAACAATTAAGAGTTACATAGTAAGACTCTGTCTCAAAATAAAACAAACACCAAAAATGAAATAAAACAACTCTATATCCCACTTTGCAATCAGAATAAGTGGCAATAACAATTATGTATTATGTATTTTTTCATTCACCAAATTTTGAGATTATACCTTTTACCCCAATTCACCGGGTGACCAAGATGGTCTACCTATCAGCCTACACTTCCTTGAGCAAACCCAAGCTTGTCTAATTCCCACCCTGATCGTCCTTCCTCCTGGGACACTGTGTCCCTTTCCCTTCCCATGAGACAAGTTCCCAAACCTCTTCAGAGTGGAGAGCGTGCCTCACTTACTGAACACGGGATCTTAGCCCTTCCTGAACAGAACAAGATCCCCAGGCTCTTGAAGGCTTTCTGCTGCATCCACTGCCTTGCTCTGAGCCAGAACAAAGACAGTAAGTGCAAGCTACATTTCTCTAGGCAGCTAAACAGGTTCGGGATCTCATTGGCATGATTTCTAGGCAGCCCTGGAGCATCCCAACTGACCTTTCCTCCTTGCCCAGCGAGACTGCTGCCGAGGATCGGGGGCTGTGCCTAGAGTCCTTGAAATGGCCTGAGGAAACTTCTCTGGTTGGCAGGGATGTTCTGGTTTCTGATGGAGAATGCTGTCTCCGGGACATTCGATGTCCTTCCCAAGAATGATCAAACAAGAAATCATTAGGAAAAGAAATGCACGTTCTAGGGGGACCCATCTACCAAAAATCTAAGCTTACACAAACAACTTATACATTTACATGGATAACGCTAGCTCTGATTGCCAGCCCATGGCTGGGGAAAGAAGAGGCAGGCATGCCTGCTGACCTGAATTGAAGGCACAGGATGGCAGCTAGTGGCAGCTTAGTGGCCCAGAGAGTCTAGGCCCTCTATGTTCTCTAAGTAGGAAGGACATTCACATCTGCCACCCCTAGAGACTAGACAGAGACCCAGCAAAGTACCCTCACCGGCCCCTTGAGCGTCCACGAAGCCACTGTTACACGGCCTATGAGTAGGCAGGCAGCAGAGAGCTCCAGAGAGAGCGAAAACAACCACGAGGGCTCACCCGGACAAGTATGGCGGTTCTGGAGAGCAGCAAGGGCGAGTCTGTCCGACTCTCCAGAATCGCGCTCAGCTCGCCTTCCTGACTGACCTGGTTGGTCCGACAGTGCTCTCACTACTCAAGGGTAACTGCACTGACGGTTTCCTGGCTTTCTTCCTGTGCTTTACGACACCCCCAAACCAAAACGCTCAAGGAAATGCCACAAAAGCAGCAGGGAGGGCGGTGGCACCGGAGGCCCACCTTGACGGGTGCTTCTGCAATGGATCAGCGCTCCTTTCCGATCCACTTCTTGCCATTTCTTAACCAAAAATCGCAACCTATACAGAAAGGTGACAAAATACATTCAAAGCAAGAGAAAACAGGAATGAATGAAGGAAGCAGTGACGCTCCTGATGTGACCAAACCACCAGAGCTTGCCCTCCCTCCCTGCCCACAGGAGAGACAGACTCCACAACCTATCAGCTGAGAGCTAGCTGTACTTTCATATCACGTAGGAACTGATGTGGGAGGCCCCTCTGTGTGCTGTGACTACCATTAATGAATAAAGACACTGTCTTGGCCTGTTCATAGGGCAGAACTTAGGCGGGTGGGGAGGACTGGGCTGAATGCTGGGAGAAAGAGGGCAGAGTCAGAGAGACGCCATGGAGCCGCCAGAGTCAAGACATGCTGAATCTTTGCCAGGAAGCCACTGCCACGTAGCAATATACAAATGAATAGAAATGGGTTAAATTAATATAAGAGTTTGTCAGTAAGAAGCTAGAGCTAATGGGCCAAGCAGTGTTTTAATTAATACAATTTCTGTGTGATTATTTCAGTTCTGGGTGGCTGGGAAGAACAAGCGGCCTCCTCCTACAAGGAACTTTCCATGCTACATTGCCATCTAAAGAAGTCCCCTTGTTGTCAGGCAGTGCAGCACGCCTTTAATCCCAGCACTTGGGAGACGGAGGCAGGCGGATCTCTGTGAGTTCAAGGCCAGCCTGGTCTACAGAGCTAGTACCATGACAGCCAGGACAACTGAGAAACTTTGTCTTGAAAAACAAACAACAACAAAAAAGTCCCCTGGCACCTCAAGTTTGACAACTAGCTGGTTCTGCCCACAGCTTACCTGCAGCCTATCACACTACAAAATTCAAGCCTGTATGTGTCACCAGACACTGGGAAAACACTGCTTCTGCCTGGCTGGGCCATCAACGGGACAGCACCAAGAGTGTAGCAGGAGGGCACAGGCAGGGGGACAGTACAAGGCTGCTTCCCGCTCCTTTCAGCATGGCTCTCCTAATAGCACGACTGTAACTTTCCTCTTTGTGGTGTGGCAAACCATAGATTATTCCAAAAATGACCACAAGGCCCTGGAAACTTCTCTCAGGCCTTCTGATACTGGGTCTCATATATAGTTCAAGCTAGCCTAGAACTTTGATCCCAGTCTCTGCCTCCTGAGTGCTGGGATGACAGACAAGCCTATGGCACCATACCCAGGCACTGCATGAATTCTCTTATTTATTTGTATGTATATTTTTCCTGCATCTATGTATGTGCACCATGTGCACGCCTGACGCCGTGGAGGTCAGAAGAAAGCATGATATCCCCAGGAACTAGAATGACAAATGGTTGTGAATGACCATGGGGGTCTGGGAGCCATCTCTCCAGCCCCTACAGCATGACTTCAAGACAAATGCCATATTTTCTTTAGGGTCACGAGTGCCATTGGTCTTGAAAGAGAAAAACACTGTAGTTTCAAGGAATACAGCCACCACAGAAGCGAGCAGGTGTGCACTGCTAACTGGCCTGGAAGCAGGGCATTCACCTCAATACTGCGATGACAACCCTCACGGCAGTGCGGAACTTTGTAAAAGGACGAGATGTCGTCAGTTTCTTATCTGCTTTGGAGGGAAATACCCCCAAATGAGCAATCATGGAGAGGGTTTCCTGTTCCGAGTCCTGGAATCCACCAATCAGCAGCAGGAGATATTTCTTTTGATAAATCAGAGCTTTTCTGAAGCTCTCCGCTCTCAGATAGTGCAGGTACAGTTTTTCCATCTAAGAGAAGATGGGGTGAGAATCAGAGAAAACAAAGACACAGTCCTGACAGACCCTGCTCTGTATACTGCCATGGTTAGTTGTCCAAACGGGAGTGTAATTCACAAATCCCACGCACATCTGTAACCTCCTCTGAAGAGCCCCCGTCTAGCTGATAAAATCTAGAAAGAAATACCTTCTCCACAACACTCTCAAGTGAGCCCCCATGAACACTGGATTTCCACTCAAGTACAGTCTAAACTATGTGTGTGTGTGGAGGGGGGTTGTTGGGATATCATGATGGGGTCCACAGATGATACGAGTGATGGGGAAACCATGGAAACTATGGAGCTTGGATCCAAACCCTGAGAAGCACTTGTCCTTTGGGAGCAAATCATAGGAAAACTTTTCTTAGCCTACAGAAACAATCTCCTGACGACATGAACGTTACATATTCATTCAGCCATGAACGGCAAAACATGGTATCTGCCCACAAGCACATCAAGTTTTAGATCCAGTTTGAGCTAGCTTCCTTTCTCAGTAATCTGACAGATAGGGCAATGGGTCTCCTATGAAGAAGTATTTCTGATCTGTGCATCAACAGCTATACCAAGCAAACAAGAACCTTGTAGTGGAGACTCTTTTCCGGCAGTTAACTATCCCTGGTTTAAGACACGCTGACACTCTGAACCCAACCCTGCATGGCTCACCTTGGTATTGCAGGAACTTGCTTCCACACTTGCAGTTGGTGTGTGCCACTCTGGATCTGGGTGTCGCGGAGAACCCTGCAAAACTGTCCCGTCTTGCTTCCATGAAGACTTGCTTTGCCTCTGAAAAAAAAAAAAAAAAAAAAAAAAAAAAAAAAAAAAAAAACACACAGCTGGCAATATAGAGCTTTGTTTTTCGATGGGGGAGGGCTGCAGGGGTTTGCCTACAGGTGTAGGTCACAAGCAAACCTTAGTGTTGGTCCTGAGGAGCTATCAGCTGTTTTTTAAACGACAGGGTCTCTCACTGGGGCCTGGGGTCTACAAATTAGGCTAGGCAAGTTGGCCAGTTAGCCCAGAGATGCACCAGTCTCCACTTCCCCAGCATAGGGATTACAGCGCATGTGCCACCACAACCTGTCTTTGGTTTGTTGGTTTTGAAACACAGTCTCACTATGCAGCTCTTGCTAGCCTGGAACATGATATGCAGACCTGACTGGCCTCAGAACTGCCTGCCTCTGCCTACTGAGCGCTGGGATGAGAGGGGTGTGCCACCATGCAGCAGCTCACAACTGGCAGGGACAAAGCTCAGGATCTCACATCTGCAGAGCAAGCCCTTTACTAACTGAGCCACATTCCCAGCCCTCTACTGAGGTGTTCTTAAGAAAGAACACCCTGAGAAAGACAAGCTAGAGAACAGAGACAGCAGCAGCTGGTGGTCTGAAGAAAAGGGGCACACTCGAACACATCATTTCCACCACAGCCGAGGATGCTGTGGGGTGGCCTATCACAGAGGAGACAGCAGGGGCTGGGAAAATGTCTCTCCAAGGCCAGGATCTGGTGAGGCACTGCTGCCAATGATCACATACCATGTGTTGTCCCTTGTCACACTGGGCATCATTTTCAGCAGTTGCTCAAGTCATGTTATAAGGCTAGCACTTCCAGGTAATTATCATTCATTTACTGAAATGTCATTGCACTAAAGATACATGTTAATAAGAACAAGCCAGAGATATCTGCAAAATACCTACTAATTCAAAGCTTTAAATCTTAACTAGTCTTATTCTGGCTGAGAGACGGCTCAGCGGTTAAGAGCACTGACTAGTCTTCCAGAGGTCCTGAGTTCAATTTCCAGCAACCACATGATGGCTCACAACCATCTGTAATGAGATCTCGTGCCCTCTTCTGGCCTGCAGGCATACATGCAGTAGATGCTGTTTATATAATTAATAAATAAATCTTAAAAAAAAAATAGTTCCTCATTCTAGAAATGCCGATGGCTGACAAACACAGTCACATAGCTCTGTTCTAGCGCCATCAAACCACTCAAGAAAAGCCCAGCCGAATGGGACAATGTGAGAAATTTTATTTGCTTGGTTCCTTTCTATCAAAAGTAATTAGCCTAACAAGGGCCCTCCCCTTCCACTTTGCATACCGATTAGCCAGTTGTGACAGATTGTGAAGAGGAACTCCCACCAATGGGATGAGACACAGTTAACAGCTACATCAGGGATGAAAGACAGATGCATTCTGGCTAAAGTGTTTACTAGCCCCCCCCCCAAAAAAAAAGATAAGATGGAGAGCAAATGAGATACCTAATGTTGACTTCTGGCCTCAACCTGAGCTGGTATCACAGGCAGTGTGCTCACACACACACACACACACACACACACACACAGGCAGTTTGCTCATGTACACACACATCCCAAAACACTGAACATGGGGCATGGTGGCACATCATTGTATTCCCAGCACTTGGAATGTTGAGGCAGGAGGATCAAAAGTTCAAGGTCAGCTACAGTTATATAGGGAGTCTGAAGCCAGTCTGGGCTACCTGGGATTCTGTCTCAACCCCCCTGCCTCCCTTCAAATAATCAATCAATCAAAAAAAAAAAAAAATGAACCCCATCAAGCTGGGTGTGGCAGGGTGTACCTGTGGGGAACTGAGTCAGGAAGAATACTTAAGCCTAGGAGTTGGAGACAAGCCTGGGCAACATAGCAAGATCCTGGAATCCTGAGTCAGACTGTACACACTAGAAGGGATGGAGTCCATAGGGTTGACCAGAAAAAGTGGCACAGAGGCCCCAGGTCTAGGCAGAAGCCCAGTTCCCTAGCGAGCAGAATGGATGGATGTGACATAGCACTGTGACAGAGACAGCGGGCAGGGACTATGCCAGGAAGAGACACAGATCCTTACATTGAGAAGGCAGCCCTTCTGCGTGTGGTGCTTCAGGGTCTTCTCGAGCCGGGAGACGGTCCTGCACAGCTCTGCTTTCTCTCGGGTTGCTATGCCGACAGCTTTTGTGAGGGCATCGTTGTCTCTCAGCAGTTCGTTCATGAGCTGGACTTGGAGTTCCGCAGCCATCTTTTTCTTTAAAAGAGCAAACAAAATGTAAGAATTTTGTGTTTTGTTACTACTGATTGCTTCAGGGACTATAGTTTTAAGAAAGTTTGGCGTATGATACCAGGCTTGTGGGGCTGGGCATATGGGATGGGAAATAGGCCACCAAATCACATTTCTTTTTCACCCTTTATAAACTGGACTGCAGATATTCTGGTATATCAAGTGACACAGACTTGTTACTAATGTAACCCTGGTCTCACTAGTCTAAGAGTCCCATACCCAGGTGCTGAATAAAATAAGGAATTATTGCTGTTCAGGCTGAGAGGTCACACACGTAATTCACTTAGAATAAGTCTGTGCACTTCACAACTGAAACCTTTAGTCCTAATGGAGAAACTTTAGAACTTGCACATAGAGAGGGACAGGACATACCACATCTCTAGGACACTTGCTGGGTGGGTAGAAGGGGTTTGTGGGTAACAGTAAGTGATAAAGCTTCTCTGTCATCTGATAACAGGCTATAACCATAACCACCACATTGGTCAGCAACAGTGTCAACATCTAGAACATCTAGGACATCTAGGACCCGTAAGCAACCTCAAAGGCTACTCACAGGGAGCCCAGAGCATCCCAGGAAGACCTGCAATTGCCCATAGCAGAAGCAGACAGGACATAGGCTGGGCTGTGCGCAGGTTCTACCTTCCAGGCATCTGTCCTCAGCAGAAGGACCCACTTCTGTCCACAGTCTCTACCTCTCAGGGTGCTCCTGGGCCACAGACAGTGAGCATCCCATATAGACATAATCACACGGTATGTGTAAATGGTACAGCTGAGACCCCAAGATGTTAAGATACAGAATACAGTACATAGTGCACCCACAACAACACACGGGGCAGATGGTCACTCACTTGCTCACACAACAAGGAACAGCTGGTTAACAGACAAGCTACAAAGAAGCCATGACATCTTCTACCAACTCCCGGAAGACACCATGTGCTGGGAGCTTGGTTTTAGCCACTGTAGAGACAGCGCAAACGTGCAGCATGGAGGAGCCCAACTGTACCTTGGAGGAGGTAGGCATGCTCAGTTCAGACTTCAGTTCCTCAAGAGTGTGCATTAAGGATGACACCGCCTTCTCATTTGATGACGTCCAATCTTTAATTGTCCTAGGAAATCAAGCAGGTGTTCAAAGGGTTCGTGTGTACCCCAAATGATCGCACTCTTGAGCTGCTCGGGAACTCTCTGTTAATGGCACAGAGAAAGCACTTGTACAGCATTTCCTCCGAGAAACCCGGGGCCCATCCAGCTCTGCACTCCCGTGTGAGTCTGTCAGGCTGGTGGGTCACTTCACTCAACATCTTTATCAGCGGTCTAGGACACACTCTTCCGAGCAGAGCCTGGGCGGAAGAGACTACACCAGCAAACAGACACATCTGTGGGATTCAGAACCCTTCAGACGTGAGCAGGCAGTGGCGGCCAACTGCCCACATCCCGCCACCCCACTGCTTCCTGCTGGACAGATAACTAATGACAGTTTTTCCTGGGTAGTAAGATGTGCACCACAGAAAGGCGCTTGCTGCCAAGCCTGGCCACTTGGTGGACGAACACCAACAAGCTGTCCTTTGACACCTATGTGCTCACGCACAGAAGTACACATGCACAAAATAAATAGAATAATAAAAATTGAAGTGCTGTCTAAACGAAAGTGCCTGGGAATCATGCTGCTCTGGGAATCGAATCCAGATATGGACAGGGAGCCATCCCAGCTGCTAACAGGGTGGGCATGGACACGTGGAGGACACGCTGAGGGAACATCCAGGAATAACAAGATGGTTTGTAACACTAGGATGCAAAGATATGGTTTTACCAGCATCCTCCAGAAGACCTTGCCCATTAATTCAACTAAACTCATGAAATGAATCGTGCAGGAGACCATTGAGACAGGGTCCTGAAACCAAAGCTGCCAAACACTTCATTTTTTTTCCCACTTAAAGTTTTTCTATATAGACCTTGTTGGCTTGGAACTTACTATGTAAGGTGGTCCTCCTGCCTCTAACTCCCAGGTGTGGGAATTACAGGCACAGGCCATTAGCTAAACTCCAGAATTTTCTTAGTATAAGCAGTCGTGGAGTGGGTGGGGGTGGGTCCTGGTGGCCACGGACTATCATGCGTGCTGCATACCTGTCCACAGTGTGGTTGGTGAAGCTCGTGAGGAGCCCAGCTGCACAGAGAAGCTGCTGCCGTATCTTCTCCAGCTCCTGCTGCTGCTCCTGGACATGGTTCGGCTCCAGAGAACCCAGGCTGGGGGCGCTCCAGCAAGGGCCATCCCCGCCAGGCACCTTCTCTTTCCACCTCAGCTCTCTCACCATCCGCTGAAGCTGCTCGATTTTATGCTCATCACGCTGGCGCTGTAATTCTAATTCTCGCTGTCCCGGCAAGAACAACAGGAAAGACCATTACAGTTTTCCAAAAGAAACTGTGTGTGTTGGGCATAGTGGGGCATGCCTATAGCAGGCACTAGGGAGGTAGAAGCAGGGGGAATCACGAGTTGATGACTAGGCTTAATGTAGAGAGTAAGTCTAACAAAGGCCCACCAGAGCAACTCAGTGAGACTCATCTCAAAACAAAACAAGTCCTCAACGATTATCTGACCAAAGAGCAGCAATGTCATGTAGGGAAACGTCACAGGGAAAACTGCCCACAGACCAAACACAGCACCTGTGGAGAAGGTCTACACTCTACTTACTGGCCCTCTCCCCAGATCCTGTCAATAAATGTACCCACCACCTTCACCTCCCCCCCCCCCCCCAAAGCACAGTCTACACTGTAGCCTCAGGTTTTGGCCAGTTCAAGGCCAGCCCTTGGGCAGTGAGCAGAGCAGCCTGCTGGCAGAGGCTGATACAAGCCAAATTTCATCTATGTCTATGTGCATCCCAACACACAAGTCGGCAGAGCATGACGACAACATGCACATGACAAATCACGCCTGCCACTGGCGGCCCTGCGGCCTCGAGCCTGACCTGACCGGTCATCGACCTAGCCTCATACAATGAAGTGAGCAGTGCCACAGTATTACAGAGGAGCAAGCCCTCAGACAGGCACAGAGCGAAGAGAACCAATGGACTTGACAAGGAGGTGGAGTCAAGTCAGCAGGTAAGGTAAGGGGGGGGGGTGCCAAGAAGGCCCCAGGAAAGCCGCAGGGGTGAAGTTATCTACTGTATCACACGACACTGCGGGCTCTTGGCGGTGCCAGGGGACCTTCTGTGAGAAAGGACTGTTGACTTTGTGACTGGACCTGCAAGAGCTCAGGACAGAAACACAGAGCTGAGCTTGCTTCACTGGAGAGAGTTCCGGGTCGGACCTGAGCCCACACACGGCTTCGGGGAGAATGGCTGCAGGGTCACACCTGGCACAGCTCACAGGAAACCAGCTTTCCGACACTGTGTCACTGTTTCCGCCCCATTAGCAAGCAGGGATCCATTGTGCTTCATTTTCCAGGTGAGAAAGAAAAGTGTACACTGTTTAGGAAAGAGCATCCTGCCTGTAATGTCTAGACCAGGCTATGGCTGTCTGGCTAGGAAACCGGTCTACGAGCCCACTGATCCTCTGCAAGGCAGGTAGGCACTTCCAAAGTGTCTCAAAGAGAATCATTCACAGAGACAGACAGACGAGGGAGTCCCTGGGCTGGGATGGGGAAAAGCGAGTGGCTTCTCAAGAACATGGAGTCCCACCGGAATGTCGTCACTTTTCATAAATGTCCTAAATTGTTCTGACAGAATGCATCTCTAGATCACAGACGGCCCACAGCTTAGGGGCTCCATGGAAGGGAGCCCTCTCAGAGTAGAGTATTAAGCACATCCCTGACAGGCATTTCCAAAGCTAACGTTAGTCAGATTTATCCTTCTGAACATTTAGAAACGTACAGCTTTGTCCTTAGAAACCAGTGTTTCTTAACTACTAAAGACAAAGGTGCTGGTTCTACACTTCTGTGCTAAAAGAGAGAAAAAAAAAAAAAAAAAAAAAAAAAAAAAAAAAAAAAAAAAAAAAAAAAAAGAAAACAAAACAAAACCAAAAAAAAAAAAACCAAAGGGCCTTGCTAGGATCTCTGAGAGACACAGTGAGTTCCAGGCCAGCCAATGCTACATAGTGAGACCTTGTCTCAAGAAGATCCCCAAAACAAAAAGGGCCTTGCTCTATATATATTAAGGCTGGTTTTGAACTTGTGATCTACTAACCTCGGCTTCTTAGGGCTAGTATTAGACATTTGGGAGGCAGAAGTAGGGAGATCTCAGTGAGTCTGACGACAGCCTGGTCTAAATAGCAAGCTCCAGGATAGCCAGGGCTACACAGAGAGCCCCTACTTCAGGGAAAATGAGTAAGAGGGAGAATACTTCCCAGTATAAAGGCATCACTACTCTGATCTAAACCCAAAGATGACGTAAAACTACAGGCTAATGTCCCTTCTGAACACAGATGCAAAAATTCTACGAGGATTCTAACGAACTGAATACAGCGGATAAATGTTAATATCGCCATAGCCCAAGAGCAGATCAACAGAACTGTTTGCCATGCCCAGGTGGTACTTATCCAGGAATGAACGGCTGGGTCATCCAGTATAAGCCAGTCACCATAACATGCTATCACAAAGCAAAAGACTAACCTGCAGACATGAAGAAACACCAAAAACACACCTACCAAAATTTTAATGCTGTTTTGAAGGGGCAGAATTAGAAACCCAAGCCTCACGCTTGCTTCCAAGGCAAAACGCTCTCCCCACTGGACTGTGATCAGGACCACTGCCCATATCTAATACTCTTTTGCATTCTGAAATGAATTTGAAAAGATGGAATAGCCAAGTTTTAAGAGAATTGCCTCTGACCAAGAGCATCCACAAAAATAAACATGTGGTTAGTTCCACGGGAGTGATCAAAACTTCCTAACTAACATCATACACAGCAGTGGGAAGCTGGAGCTCCCCAAGAGAGGCGGTGTCAGCATTCAGGACCTGTAGTGACTTATATCTGCTGGAAGATTGCTCTCACCAGCTTCTCCTTGTCTGTCTGCCAGGTCTTCGTTTCCACGTCTGCTCGGCTTGACCTCCTCTCCATCCTCCTCGCATCCTTGTGGCCTTCTTGCTCTTTCACTCTTGTGGATAACTGTTCTAATTCTGCCTGTAACCAAGCTGACTTCTCCCTCTCTCTCTCCAGACAGCATCCCAGCTCCTGTTTGTGGCTCTGCAAGGCATCCATGGCTGATCGCAGGTGGCTACTTACCTCCTTCTCTTTCCTGAGCTCTACACAGCGCTCCTGAGCCTGAGATTCCAGTTGCTTCTGTGCTTGTGCAGCCTGTCTCTGCACCTTTTCAAGCATGCCTTCCAGTTCCAATGCACGCGCCTTCTCTGCTTTCAGCTTTCGCAATAAGGCATGCTGCACTTGTGCCTCTTGGCGGGCACAGGCCTCCTGCGCGTTGCGGCTCAGCTGCTCCGTCAAGAGCCGCTCGTGCTGTAAGGCCTCTGAAAGCTCCAGCGAGCGGCTCCTCTCAGCCTCTAGGCTCTTCTGCAGCTCATAAAGCTGGCCCTTCTCCTGTGCCAGCAATGCTTCACAGCGGGAGGACTCAATCTGAAGCTCCTTCTGCAGGTTGTCCTTGGCCGCACGCTCATGTTTTAAAGCAACGCATAGTTGGTTATTTTGAGCACGCTGCTTCTCCAAAGACATTTTTAACTCCTATGTTGACAGAGAAAACAAGATTGTGATGATCGATACCAAGAGGAAAAGGAACTAGGTGGTTTTCTTATTTATACTTTCGTTCAGGAATCATAACTTTCAAAAGTTATCCTATGAGTAAAACCGTGCACAGGACGGCATGGATGAAATACTGTGTGGGAGAAGTATTGAGCAAGCACATGCACACATCTTGATGGGGGGGAGGTCCCTTTCTCCCTTTCTTAGAAATCCCAAATACCAGGATGCTCAAAGACACACCTGGCCCGTGTTGTTTACAGCCATACACTGCAGCAGAAGACTGTGAGCCTTGGGGCACCTGCTGAACATGTGGTACCCCAATAGTCCAGGCTTAGCACTTAACTGCTCTATGGGGACCTCAGACACTGTGCCTCATTCAGATAGGCACAAGGAGGCTGTGTGACACTGGGTACATCAGCCACACTCCAGAACTGGCATCAGACTCAGAAGTAATGACCAAAACAAATTGGACTCCATGGTTCTGTGCTTTTGTTTTAAGAGAAAAAAAAAAAACAAACCATGATGATAGGTAAGGGGAAAAAATCTAATCAAGCATATTGATTGTATTAAATTCTCAAAAATTAAATAAAAACACTTTAAAAGATAAATGGAAACATTCAAAGACCATAGCTGGGAACAATCAAGAAGGCCATAAATCATCGCCAGGCGTCACAGCCATCCACCTTTGTCACTGTCAGGCACTGTTTTACTGCAGCTATAGCCTTGGTCCTATTTCCAGTGCCCTGGCCTCGTCTGGCCACCCCTGCCTTTTCTAGGATCCACCAGGATTCTACCTGCCACCACCCACCGGTCCCTCTATGTTGCATCCTCTACCCAGGCAGATATCCCAACTACAACTCCCTGAACTAGTCCAACTACCCTGCATGGCTATCAGTCACTCCAGGATTAGACCAGGAGGCGCATCCTGTACATCATCCCAGTCCCCTGTCTTTACTTCACCCAAGCCATCTGCAACCTCCAAGCCCAGCCTGCTGCATGTCCTCTCTCCTGCCCCAGCCTGCTTTGTCCATGACAGACTTAGAACTAATGAGTAGTCCACGTGGCCAGATCTCATTGGAGGAACAACAACATGAAAGATCAAGGCAGCATCTTCTCTCCAAACCCACCGGAAATGGGGAAATGAGAATTATCTGATGAACTCCAGAACACAGACTTTAAAAGACAATCACTGACTTCTTACAAGAATTCCAGGAGTTTAAAGAAGATACAAGTCAATGAAATAGTGGAGCGAGAACTTGAGAAGAAACGTCTGAGCGATGCCCATGAAAACACAAACAGGCTAGTGAAGATGATGCAGACACTCCGGGACTTGAGGAAAGAATTCGGTAAGGAGACAGAAACACTGAAGAGGACTGAAGCCAAAATAAAGACGGAACTGGAAAACCCAACAACCGCAACTTGAAAACTGGTCCTGCCACTATGAAAATCAGTGTGGGAAAGTCTGAAAAGGCCAAAAATAAACCTACCACACGACACACTACACCACTCTGTGGCACATGCCCAAAGGACACGACATCCACTCCAGACACTGCTCGCCACGTTCATTGCTGCTGTATTAATAGCCAGGAAATGGAAACAACCTACATGTCCGTCAGTTGACTAACAGGTAATGAAAATGTGGCACATGACTATGAAATACTGTTCAACTGGAAAGAAGGATGAAACCCCTTAGTAGGTAAATGGATGGACCAGAAAAGATCACGCACATCAAACGAGGCAACAAGAAGCACAAACTCACAGGTTCTTTCTCATCTGAAGCTCCCAGCTCCAAACAGTCAGAGTTAACTGCAGGTGTGGGGCAGGTGTGGAGTGACAGGAGCAGGGGCACGGCGGGGGGGGGGGGGGGGGATAAAAAAAAAAAACTACAGGCAACTAAGGACTGCTGAGAATTGAAGTTCTCCTCATGAAACAGCATATTAGCTGGCTATCCAATACCAATGGTCAGTCCTAAAAACATACATACAAGGAACAGTATGCAGAGTGAGCAGGGTGAATTCAGGCCATGGATTTGAAAGAGAGCAAACTGAAGTATATTACATGGAACAATTTCAAACAAAGGGAAGGGGGAAATGACATAATTTATATCATAATCTCAAAAATAAAATAAAAAATAGCCTTATTTTGTCTTCAATTCCTTTCAGCTCGGCTGCCATAAAAGAAGAATAAGAAGGTCAGTCACCTCCAGGGCCCTTGAGCTCTGGCCCTCCCTCTGTAGGTGCCGCAGCTGTTGCTCCTCCTGCTGGGCCTGAAGGGCTCGCTCCTTTCCACGCTCACACTCCAGCTCCTCAAGGGCAACCCTCAGTTCATTCTCCTTTCCGTCGAGCATGGCTCTGGGAGGGAGACAACAGGCAGCAATGAGGCCTGTGCAGGGGGGCATCCTGCTGGGGATCCCTCTATTCTCACGTCTAAGTCCAAGAGCTCCCCCGGCACTGGCCAGCCAGAGCAGGTAAGTTCCGCTGTATGGCCTCTCAACAGTCACAGCGCATGGCCATACCTGAGCCGCAGGACTTCCTGCTGCACCTTGTCCAGGGACTCCAACAGCCGTGTGTTCTCCTGCTTACATGCATGCAGCTCCGACTTCAGATCCTGTACTGCACTCTGTTCCACCATCAGGAGTTTCCGGACATCGCTCGCCTTCTCTTGCTCTTTGCTCAAGGTTTTCTGTAAGTCGTTAGCTATGCACTTTTCCTGTTCAACTTTGTATGCCAAAAGTTCAACTAAGAAAGATCAGGACATCAGACAACATTACCCAGAAGTCCACAGTGTACCACACAAACCAAATTACAAATGATGCTGCTTTGGTGGAGATGCGCTCCTTTAAGGAAGAAATGGTATTTCTCTGAACTGAAGCCACTGTCTCTAAGGGAGTCAAAGCCACTCAGGGACATGCCCCTTTGTCTTCTGAGACCATTTTTTCTTAGGTCCTAATCTCCTGGTCAGGGCATGTCCCTGAGGCACTAGCCAACCGCACACACATGTCCACAAGAGAGACGAGTCAAGGCCCTCACGGCTTGGCTGAGAAATTCCCCCCGAACCTCAGGAAGAAACTAGCCTGGTTCTGCACTGTCCTCTGAAATACAGGAGAAGGTGACACTGGTTCTCACAAGGCCAGTGCTTTGCCAATATGAGAGTCAAAAAAAGTCCAAGATTGCAGACCAGGATGCTTGTAAACACACAAAAAACTGAGTATAGCCCAGACACGCACATGAACCAACATAACAGTGATTACTTAGCAGAAACCAAACAAAAACAAGACACTGACCCACACAAAAGAGTAAATAACTGAATGTCAGGAAGGTTGTCAGGCTAAGGCCAGATCAATACAATGGCCAGAAAGGAGATATTCCATTTGTTCACAGATGCTGCCTATAAAAAAATTCCTTAACAATTCCTGAACTCCACTGAGAGATCGCAGGAGTCTCAAAGGACCACTGGGCCTTTGTACGTGAGGGTCTGGCAATCCCACCTGCCTAATGCATCCCGAGGTAGCATGCGCAGGTGTGGGCCAGGTGTGGAGTGACAGGAGCAGGGGCACCCACCTTGTCTCCGCAGCTGGTGCTCCCGTTGGCTCCCACGGGCCTCTGTGCTGGTCAGGGCTGCACACAATTGCTGTAGCTTCTCTTGGTTCTGGAGGTGTGTCATGCGGAGCTGAGCACGCAGAGCCTGAACCTCAGAGAGCAGGCTATGCCTGTCTGGCAGACACAGGTGTTCCTGGACCTTCTGCAGGTCTCCCTGGAGGACGGGGAAGGACAATGAGGTGTGAGTGTTGGAAGGCAAGCACCCAAGCTTGGAGGGGGAAGCCAGGCGTGGTCCACTCTGCATAGCTACGCCCTTTCAAACCCAAGCTCTGGTGCTGTAGAACAAAGTAACAGCAGCACAGTAGCCCAGGGCCTTACCTCCAAGCCCCTTTCCTGACAGCTTTGGCCCGGGCAGTGCTGTATCAGCACGGCCACTTCAAGTCTAGACTTCTGTGGGCAGTGGCACAAACAGGACTCCTCGTGTCCTGCACCATGCTAACGTCCCCTGGCCCAGCATGAGCAGTGTGCTTGGCCATGCAGGCAAGCCCAGACAGCCTGTTCCTTTTGCCAGCCAGGTCCAGGGGAGAAAGACTCAGGGACGAATTCACCAAGCACACCAGTGCTTACTGTTGCAGGACACTTGCTCACTGTGAACCATGAGATTGTGCTATTTCCTAGAAAAACCTGCTTCTAGCAGGGGTGTGGCCCAGCCTCAGCACACTTTCTCTTGAATACTGTAAACAGGATTAAATAAAATCAACCACAGGTCAAGAGGTGGAGCGAGTGACCAGCTGACAGGATGAGGTCAAGAAAAAAAAAACAACAGCAGGTAAGAGGGGGTCACGAGGATGGCGAGAGTGACAAGAGGGGGTCACGAGGATGGCGAGAGCGACACAGGAAGAAGGGACAGATGTTGAGTCGGCGGAGGAGGAAGTTCAGCTGGGAGCTTTCCCTGCCTCTCAGAGCTAGCAGGATTTCACCCCAGCACCTGGCTGGCTCCTGAGTCTTTATTGATAAAATGGAACAATTGAGATTTTGTTAAAACCAGCACTTAACAGTGACAGCATGATATTCCACTTGGTTTCTTTGGTCAGGGGGCACAACGTTCCAAAGTCTAGAAAAACGTGTAAACCAAAAAAGACGCATCCCTTACACCCTCCAGAAGGTGGTAAATCAAAGCCTAGATTGAACTGTTGCTCACCCGCTCTTGAATAACCTTCTCCAGCCTCTTGAACAGGGCATTATAATCCCCTAGTTCTAAGCCATAAGGTCTAGACTGCAGCCCGGCATTCTCCTGCTCCCTGGCAAACACTTCTTGCAGGGCCCGCAAAAGCCCTTCACTCCATGAAAGGCGTGTTTCCAAAGATTCCTGTGGACGAGAAACCAGAGACTCAGTGCGGGACTGGGGTGCAGGCTCTGTGGCAGAGGCCTGCCTAGAATGTACAAGGTACCAGCTTTAAACTCTCACCCTCACCTGCACACGCACACTTACACCCATACAGTCTGTGTTTTATTCATGCCTATTTTGTCTATATCATATTTTTCATTTTGGGTGCCAGCTGCTAAAATGGTGCACCTTCTCGCAACATTCTGGCCAAAACTCCAAATAAGAACTTTGAAAATCCCTATCAACTACTCAGAAATCATTTGCAATTATACTAGACAGTAATCTTAAAACTTAACCATCACTTTACAGGATCCCATAAAAACAACAACGCCCCCAAATGACAGCAGGAAGTAATTCTAAAAGATGACATCCCCCGACAAAGTTTGTCTTCAGAGTTGGGGACACCGTGGAAACTATGTAGGCCCAGAGATTTAAAAAAAAAAAAAGGAAAAACTGAATGGGATAATAGATAATTTAGTGTGAACTTATTCACACTAATAATAATAATAGTGGGTAATAGAGTGAATATTTGTGACCTATTACTTATGGACAATTTACATTGGTATAATTTTTTGTATATTGATACAAGTTCAAATTATATTTGTTATTTCTGTTTACAATATTTGTACACCTATGCAAAGTTATTTTGTCAGATTGTATGCATGCATGTTTCTATCTCTGTTTAAGGCATTTTGTATACTGATACAATTTTAGGATATATTTATCATATTGCATTATATATTTCTACCTCTGATCAAGGTATTTATACACTGTTTACATTTTGAGGTCATTTTCCTCATTCACTGCACAATTGTTTATAAATTGTTTAATATTCTGATATGTAGTCTTAGTCTTTAAGTTATACAGGTATTAAGTATTATAGGTCTATAGTTATTCATGTTTGTTATACATACAGTCAAATTAATTAGGTTCTTTAAATACATGGAGATTGTATTCTGCCTAGATAGGTAATCTTCAACTACTTCAAGGATCTGTAAAACATGGCATTTAAATAACTTAGGATTCTGTTAAGACATCCTGACACACCAATCTATTCCCAAGAGATTGTTGAGCACTGAAGACATTTCACTTGGAGTTTGTTTTCTTCTTGGCACAATTGGCCTTTGGGCAAGGAACTGCCCATATCTCGACCACTGACAAAGTGTATGGTGTCCAGACTGAAGAAGAAGGACACAAAAAAAGACTGTCAAAGTAAGCTCTTCCTTCTGTAGGCTGCCTTGGTCACCGCACTTGATCACAGCTACAGAAGAAACGCTAGTATAATGGGCAACCCTGTTTCCTCCCCTTCCTGTTGCTGCACCTGCTGGGCCCTGGTCTGGGAAGGCCGGAGCTATCTGGACCTGCTCTGCTAGGTGTTTTGTGCTTCCTGGGACTCCAGCCAGGAAACAGCATGCTGACACAGCGACATGCCCACATTATAACAGGTCCTAGGCCTATAAGTAGCTCTGCTGCTGCACTTGGCTCCTTCTCACTGACTGAATCAACAATTTCCTACCTTCTCTCTTCTGTCGGCTGTCACCTCCAAAAGGGCCTGTCTGTCCCTTGGAAGGCCATCCAGCGGTTCACCCTTGTTCAGCGAATTGGGGAGGTCCTGGTTCTCTGATAAGGCCAGTATCTGGTGGCTCTCATCAAATACCATCTGCAGCAAAGCCTACAGCAGAAAAAACACATCAGGAAGGGGACAGAGCAGCACAAACCTACCATCCACACAGTGAACTACCAACACCTCAATTCATTAACTGAAAATTAAAAAAATTATTTTATTGTTAGGTTGCTTAAATACTAAAAACCTCTCTTCAATGGTTTGTACCAAAGAAAATTTGGAAAGACACAAAGAAATAAAACATAGATCAGTTATTCCAATTCCTGTGTGTGTGTGTGTGTGTCCTATACATATGCATATAGAGACCAGTGTGTTCCTCAATCACTCCTCACCTTATTTTTCAAAACGGAATCTCTCCCTTAACCAGGAGCCCGCTTCAGAAACCTCAGCTACACCACTGGCCAGTGAACCCCAGGGACCTCCTGTCGCTGACCGCCCCCTGCTGACGGGTACAAGGGGCCCTTGCCCTGGTTTATGTGTTAGGATCATCCTCAGACCCTCACGCCACTGTGGAATTTCTGAATACTCTCCTCAGTTCCTTGGTTTCCATTCTGAAAGCGATAAAGTTTTACCTTAATATAATTTCAGAGTTCTTAAGGACATTAAAATTGTTGTATCTACTGGTGGGGTTAGAGAGATGGCTCAGCAGTTAAGAGTGCTAACCAGTCTACTAGAGGGCACAGGTTCCATTCCCAGGACCCACATGGCACCTCACAACCAGCTGCAACTGTAACTCCAGGGGATCTGACAACCTCTTTTGGCCACGGTGGACAAGAGGCACACAAACGGTATACAAACAACTTGCAGGCAATTCACAACCATCTACAATACGATATGATGCCCTCTTCCGGCGTGCAAAACACCCACACACAAAAAAGTTTCATTAGGTAAGATGGCCCAACCCACAATCTCAGCACTGGACGGGCTGGGTTAGAGGTCAGGCTGGGCTACACAATGGGACTGTTACAAAACAAAACATTGTTTAGGGGTACTTCTATTATTTTATTAAGACACCATACTGGCACGATACCATTTACTTGTTGACAAGAATGTCTTTGGCACTAATGGCAGCAAGTAGCCTTTCTCTCTCTGAAGAAAACAGTACTCTGCCCCAGAACACACAACAAGGACAAGCCAGTTCTGAGACCCTCAAGTAAGATGCTTCAAGGTCCCTACCTAGGGGGACACCACCACCTGCGGGACTGGTACAGGACCACAGAAGATGGCCTTCAGGTGGGACTCCATGACAGTGGTGGCTCAGGATGAGTGTGCCCACCACCGGGCTAAGGCTGAGCGCCTGGACAGGTATAGGCGCAGGCTAGCGAAGAAGGAAGGGCCAGGCCGGCCTTTGATCTGGCTGTGGGCTGACAATGCTCTTCGACTGTAGCTCTTGGCTCTTACCTTCATGTGCTTTGCATGGATTTCCTTCTCCTTCATTGCTCCTGGGGATTGGCCAAATCTTCCAGACAGAGGAAGGGCATCAGCAGTTGCAAGACTGGTGGTGGGAGTCAGCATCAGAGCACTGCTCGGGCCATTGCCTAGGAGCACACAGGGTCAGGAGCCGAAGCCACAATATCCATTTCCAACTACAGTCACAGCCACTCACGCCACATCAAACACTGGTGTGCAGCAGGCAAAGGCGGTAAACAAACTCGTAAAACACAAACAGGAGAAGAGGAAGGAAGGAAACACTGCTTTGCATGTTTGATGTGTTGTCTGTGACTCAAACACATAGCTCAGAGTTATCTCAGCTCCTTACATGGGCGTGTACCTGGTAGCCCTCACTGACAACTGCGTCCCAGGAAGGACTGAGGAGCAACCGGACTATACCTAAGGTCTAGGTACTTCACACCCAGCACAGGGACCAAGAATACAGCGGCCAGGCCACCAAGCCTAGCGGAGGTGGGAGCGGTTGGAGGAACTGCAGCATCTGGTCTGACTTGACATGAGGTGGGGCAGGAACAGCACTGAACACAATCCAGAACTTGTGGCACCAGTCAGGGGCTTTACAAGCTCTTGGGAGCATATAAGCTGGATCTTCAGGCCTCCAGCCTACAATAGGAACACACTGGCCAACGAGGTACAGTGAGGTCTGGTGCCCAGGGAGAGAATTCTCCCACCAGCGCCCAGCCTATAGGGATGCAACGGATCTCCACTTTAAGAAAAGTCACTCCACAGTCTCAGACGAGCAAGGGAAATATTAACACCAAAATATACTGGGAAGGAAAGCGCAACAACAAAAGGAAATCTTAATATGTACAGAGAAAGCCCAGACACTTTCTCAAGCATGAGGTAGGAAAACCAGAGTGAACAGTCAAGAACTCACCGCCTTTACATGCTAACACTCACAGAGATGGACACAGGCACACAGACCTCCAAAGGCTGACAAGAGGAGCGAAGCAAGGGAAATTCGTGCTATGTTTAGATGCTATATTATTTATTTTTATTTATTTTTGTTTTGTTTGAGATGGATCTCTAACTCACCGAGATGTGCCTGCCTCTGCCTCCCAAGTACTAGGATTAAAGGCATGTGCCACCAGGCCTGGCTAGATGCTATTTTAAATAGCAAATGTGGTTTGAAGATACATCAAATACTAAAGCACAGATGTCCCCAGGGAATGCTGAACCCAAGCTGGGGGCTGGAAAGAAAGTCAACTAAGGAATGCAACACAGACCCCTCAACTGCTGACGCCATATGCTCCAACTGAGTAAATGGAAACTGAATTTTAAAAGTTTCTTGCATTAGCATTTTATAAATATTAAATTGCTAATGAACGACATTTCATTATGATCTATCTCATTCTTGAAAATTCTTGAAAGAGATAATGATGATTTGAAACACCCTACATTACTGACTTGGAAAAAGAAAAGCAATTACAGGAGAAATTGAGAATTTAGATGATCAAAGTTTGGCCCAACATCTTTAATAAAACTGAACCAACAAGAACCTGGAGAGAAGGGAACAAGGGCAGTAGATCAGGAATACAGAACAACAAGACTCTCTCAGGGACAGCTGCCCTCTGCAAAAGAGGGCCTGCCAGATACAACTGTGGCCCATGGGGTCCGAATTGACCCTACTAACACCCTGATGTGATGACACCATAGCCCATGCTCAATTCAACCTCAAAAACAAGCCAGACCCTGTGAACAATTCCCACTTCTGCACAAGCCAGACCCTGTGAACAATTCCCACTTCTGCGTTTTGCAAACGTTGGTGTTTAAAGCCCAGAGAGGGACAAAAGGATTGCTCCACATGCAGACTGGGGAGGCAGGAAAGGCTAAGACCTGACCTGTCTTTTTCTCCTGTCTATCTGTGAAGGACACGACAGGGACAATTGGCACAATCTGCTTAGGATCCAAGGACACGATGAAGTACAGGTGCTATGCACTGTGCTGAGACCCCGACTTCAAAAAACACAATGACCTTCTTAGGAGACAAACAGCAGCATGTTGGCAACTTATACTCAGGGCACAAGTAGGTGACAGAGCTTGGAGAACAAGGAGGACATGGTAGAATCTTTAGACTCTTCCGAATCCTGAAAACGTGCACAAACACACACACAAACACACACACACACACATCATAAAAAAATCAGAAAGACCGACTCACTTTTCCCACTCCCATCACTTCTTCGTGCTAACTCATGAAGGGATGTTAATAATTCTTGAGAATCAAAAGATGTTACAATAAAGTCTTCGACATCCTTCTCCTATTCAGATAGGCAGATTTGTAGATGGTCACACAACAGTAAACAACAGACGAAAAATCATTAAGGTCAGAACATATCAGCTTCCCACAGAGAACCCAGCTCAAAACACTCAGAACACGCAGATATGATGGAGATGTTGGAACCACGTGCTGCCCACAACTCCATCAGCATCAGGGGTGTTTTTAAGGGGCGGAGAAATGCTCCGTGAGTAAAGGCACTTGTAGCCTGAGTGCCAGGCATGGTACCCAAGTGGCAAAACGAAAAACGTTTCCCACAAGATGTTCTCCGGCTTCCATGTGCCGCGCGCACACACACACAATAAATAAGATGTAATTAAAAAAAAACACTATAAAAAATAACCTTTATAAGTAGCCCCTAGCAAATACCTCAGATACTTAAAATATGAGCATAAATGATAGCCTATGGATCTTAGGTAACATGTATTCCCCCAAAGAATTTTCATATAAAAGTATCTCAAAATAGAAAAATATAATCAAACTTAAAAAATAGCAAACTGAAAAATAAATAAATAAATAAATAAATAAATAGAAAAATAAAAAAAATAGCAAACTGAAGTGTTCTTAAATGGAATCAGCATCACATGCATAACAATACAGTAAGCACATGGACTATTACTACAGATGAACCTAGGGCTATGGCTATGGCTTAGCCAGTGCTGTGTGTGCATCCTCACCCCCGGCATCCACATAGAAACCCAGGTGGGGTGGCAGGGATCTAGAATCCCTGCACTTGGAAGGTGGAGACAGGATTCCTGTGGCTGGCTGGCCGGCCAGCCCAGCCCAAACAGGAAGCTCTGGCGGAGGGAGGGACACGGTCTCATGATAAGGTAGAAAGCGACTGAGGAGGAAGCAGTGACATTGCCCTCTGGCCTCCACATGTATGCACACACAAAATCTAAACCATTTCAGACGAGTCCTTTGGTGAATTACACAAGAATTACGACTGTGCTACTCAGAATCAACACGTGTATAGACACACCACATGTATTTCTGAGGATGACAATCAACCTTCCTGTTTCAGGTATGACTAACATGGTCTAAATGCCCCTAAATCAGTCACATGTAGGACTGATTTCTTCTGGAAAACCAGGCTCCTCAGCACCTAGGAGGCACCTACAGTCAAATGAGCCAACAATAGCCTGGCTGTGATGCATCCCTACGAAAACCATGACCACCCACAAATGCTACAGCAGTGAGTGCAGAGAGACACCTACCGCAGCTGGCCTCTCCACATGGCGGGTCTCAGCCGAAGGAGCCAGCACCCACAGCGGGGCCTGTCCTGCTGCTGACCTGCCCGGGTAACAAAGCAGCCCTGACGCATCGGCCAGCAGCAGTGAGTCCGTCCAGCCTTGGGAGGAGGTGTCTACACTGTGTAGGCTCACTGTATCTGTGTGGGGTGTCAGGGGAAGGCTGTGCTGGGGCTCGAGGCTTGAGTCCTTCCGGAGGACCTCAGGGGAACTCCAGGAAGACAGGTCCAGGGCCCTTGCTGGGTCCTTGTGGGGCTTAGCCTCCTCAGTGTGCACACTGATTTGAGAGGAAAGAGGTCCGCCTTGTAGTGTTAATGTTTCTTGAGGGGGAAAACTTGGCATTTCACTCTGGGCCAACAAATCCTGACTTTGAATGACATCGATGAGATCCCACGTGGTTTTAGCAATATTAAATCCATCAACTGGAGGGGACACACTGTTTTCTTCATCGTTATAACAATTATTACTGGAACCATTTTCTGATAGGTTCGGCTGTGGTAATTTAGGATTTTCCATGCTGGTGTCCCTAGAAGCCATGGATTGCACCAGGTGGTTCAGTTTCTCCTGAAGTTGTTTCACTTGGGCTATGAGAGTCGCACTGCCCAGCTGACAAGCTTCCGGCTGCTTTTCCTTAGCCTGCGAGTGAAGAGAACACACCAAGTGAAGCAGCTGAGTTACGGTACACCCCGCCATTATCTCTCTAGAGTTAGGGTACACCCCGCCATTATCTCTTTAGAGTTACGGTACACCCCGCCATTATCTCTCTAGAGTTAGGGTACACCCCGCCATTATCTCTCTAGAGTTATGATACACCCTGCCATTACTTCTCTAGAGTTAGGGTATACCCCGCCATTATCTCTCTAGAGTTATGATACACCCCGCCATTATCTCTCTAGAATTTCTCAACTATTTTCAGACACTAAACACCTATGAGTAGGATCCATGAGGAAGCCTCCAGACACTAAGATGTCAAGTTTATTTAATGCCATGAAGAAACAGTATTAAAACTTAAAAGTTTTATGTTTTTGTGTTTGTTGGTTTGTTTGTTTTTGCCTAAATGACAAGCATCACCACAACCAAGGACAGTGTTGATTTACTAAGACTCGAGGTCTTGGTTTGTTCTTTCTTTTTCTTTTGCTTTGAGGAAAAAAGTGACTAGAAGGTTCTATATCCAAACACCGGAAAACAAAAAAATGTAATTGCTGTAATGAATGTGGAGTTTCCTTATCAGCACGTAGCTGGCACTGTTTGTGATGCCACAGAGCTGGGCACAGGGAGAGGCTGCTGTAGCAAGCTGGCAAGAGTTTTTGCATAGAATGTGTCCCCCGAGTGTTCAAAGGACTCTTGAGATGGATAGAAACATCTCTCAGAATCACAGCCCACCCAGGTCCTGCTCTTAGCCTGGGTCCAGCCAAGTGTGGTGTCCTAAGTCTTTCATGTTCTAAGACACAAATGTGCGCATAGCGCATGCAGGAGTGTTGCAAGCGTTCTGGGCTTCCACCACGTACACAATGCTCACATCAGAGGGGCCATCACGGTCTTTCCTGTGTCCTGTGCCAGATGTGTACTGAAAACAACCTGCTTCAAGAGTCGTTTGGGGGGGGCTGGAGAGATGGCTCAGTGGTTAACAGCACTGACTGTTCTTCCAGAGGACCCGGGTTCAATTCCCAGCACCCACATGGCAGCTCACAACTGTCTGAAAATGCAGTTCCATGAGATCTGACACCTTCACACCAATGTACATAAAATAAAGTTAAATAAATCATTAAAAAGAAAAAAAATTTTAAAAAAAAGTCGTTTGGGGCTTACAGATGGCTAAGGAATCATGGCCTGTTTTGTAAGGCCCAGGTACGCACACACCAGGATGAACTTGCTCTAACAGAGGCGCTGGTGACGTGACACGCTGGTGGTGTGACACATCCTACATGTCTAGGACAGGGAGCAGCCCCTCAACCTGAGGGCCAACCCAAGGCGAGGGCTGCTGTCACCTGCTTCCTCATTCCAAAGTTTCCCTGGGGGCCCTTCTTTCCAAAAGTAAAAATCGACTTTTCATAGAGTAAAAGATGGGGGGGGGGGGGGACAAAAGGCTCAAAACCAATCTCAAGACTCTCAAAGTTGGAAAGACACCGGCAGGGACAATGGAAAGGTAAAAATCTCAAGGATGGAGAGTGGGGGAATTTGGTCTTCACATGAACAAAACATCTACTCGCATTACGGAAACGTATCTTTAAATAAAGCTGAACGCGGAGAATTAATAACAGTCTATGGGATACTCTCATCCCTGGCTAAACAACCCTCTGTCGTGATGCACACCCCTGTGCTGAGTCTCACCCAGCAGACCTTATCCCAGGCAGCATTCACCAACTCCGCCAACCAGCCCACGCACCTGCACCCCTTCCAGAGCCTCGCTGTCATCCTCCAGGCTCAAAGGCTTTGCATTCTTCACTAAAAGCATCTCTGTCTCCAACCACCTCTGGCAGACTGCGAGCAGCGACCTCACACTTTCCGCCTTGTGGAGACTGGCATCCTTTAGTGTCATGAGAACTTTGGCAGGCTGTAGATTATCCTGGACCAGAGGAAACAGAGAGAGCCTCTAAACCTGGAGCTAGGTTAGTCAGGGACTCAGGTGCAGCCTGGCTTCCCCTCAGACACCCGAACACTCACGCCGCACAGCAACGAGCAGAGACACCAAAGGGAAGGGGCTTCAGTAGCCGCTTGCTACCCACCAGTGCAGCGGACACAACATCAGGCTGAGGACTTAGGGAGGAGCCGCAGAGCAGCTGGGAAAGGAGCAGCTAATCCCGAAAGTTCTACTCAAAGTCAAACTGGAACCAATTTTTTTTTTTTTTTTTTTTTTTTTTTTTTTTTTTTTTTTTTTTTTTTTTTTTTTTTTTTTTGGAGATAGGGTTTCTCTGTGTAACAGTCCTGGATGTCCTGGAACTCACTCAGTAGACCAGGCTGACCTCGAACTCAGAGATGTCTGCCTCTGCTGGAACTAAAGGTGTCTGCCACCATTTAATAAAAGAACATTTAAAAGGCACCTTGGGTAAGACCTTCTGTTCCAAAGTGAAATAAGCTTAAAATGGTTTCCATGGGCTAGGATGATTGACAACAAACCATTTGACTAGAGACATAACAAAACCCCATGAAATTAATGCTGAGACCTCTATGTCATTACACACGATACCCAAACTTTAAAAGAACTGGTTTAAGAAGCTGGCGTGACCCCAGTAGGATTCACTGGAATTGATGGCCCAAGAGACCCAAACTCCAGGCTCTCATCTCTGCCCTGTTAGGAGCCACTAATGACAGCAGGAGCCCAATGTCCAGACTAAAAAGAAGTCACTAAAGTTAAGAAGATAGAAGCCTTGTAGGATGACGACGACAACCCAGCATCCCGCCTGGCCCCAGGGCACCCCCCACCTCCAGCTCCAAAACAGAAAGCTCCCTACTGTCACCCCCAATGATCGAGGCCTACCTGTGGAGCCGAGCTGTGGGGCACCAAGGCCAGCCCCGTGCTGACACTGTCCTGCTCCAACTGACCGTCATGTTTCGCCTGTGCATTCACACAAGGGGATGAGCAGCCAACAGATGCTTCGTGAGCCTGTTGCCGGTCCAGCTCCACCTGGCAACTCAGGAAGCGCCGGTGCAGCACTTGCAGCTGGTGGCTGAGGCGAGCGCACTGCATTCGCAGCTGCTGGAGCTCAGGAGGCTCCTCAGGGGTGGCCAAGGTCTGCTGTTCCAGAGCATGACAGAAGTGTGTCAAAGCCAAGAGGATGGTCTCCAGCTCAAGGGAATGAGTTACTTTCCACTTCTTGATGGTGTCAATCTCCAAATCTCTCTGCACAATGACTGCCTCCTTTGCCTTCAGGATGGCTTCAAATTCTTGGATCCGGGAGGCCATGCCTTCAACCTCAGCCTCTTTGAGGGCCACACAATGTTCTAGTTCAGCCAAGCGTCTTGCAGCAACCTCCTCGGCATCTTGTAGACGCTGCTGCAGTGCCTCCAGGACTTGGCTGTGTCCATGTGCCTGGTCTGCCAGAAGCTGGCCAAAGACCTCCTTGGCAGCCTGTGCAGTTTCCAGCTCATTCCGTAGGTCCTTTTCACGCCGGTCTTCTGCGCGGAGGCAGGACAGCTCGTCGTGGAGACTGTTAGCCTGGTGATCACTGAGTTCATGCACCTTGGGCCCCATAAGGGTCAGCTCACTCTGCAGCTTCTCGATGACTTCATGGAGCTGCTCAATTTCTTCTGCCTTATTCTTCTGTAATTGTTCTTGGTCTTCCCGCAGAGTGTCGATGATGGCTTTCAGCTCCTCAATCTCGGAGTTCCTACTGGGGACAACCTGAAGAGGAAGCACATGAACGAATTAGCCCGAGCCTCTCCTTCCCAGTACATAGTGCTGTAATTAAAAAACGGCACATGAGAGAAAGACACCATGCAACAGAGTTCACGTGGAGGGGTTTTTATTAGGGGAAGAGGAGGGGGAAGATGGACCTGTGGGGACAGGCGCAGAAGAGAAAGGAGAGGCAAAGGGAGAGAAGGAGGGACAGAGACACAGGCAAAGAAGGAGAGAGAAAGATAAAGGAACAGACAGAGAGAGACAGATGGGGGGAGGTGGGCAGGGCCCTTTTAAAAGGAAATGTAGCAAATGTGCACAAGGTCTTCTTAGTGGCTATAGTTGAGGATGTGGCTTGCCAGAATCTCAAGGGCAGGCCAGTACCCAGTATGGATAGATGTCTGAATACTAACACGCAGAAGCAGAGAAGCACAGAGACAGGAATAAGCCAATACTATCCTCAGATGGATTTGTAAATCCAAACACACTATGCCCACTCTTCGGGTACAGAGAAACGATGCCCACAAATCTCAACATAACTCATGTTCCCTACCCCAAAGCTCTGGGTTTAAACTCAAACTCTAGTTTCTCTTCAGCCTTATATTCTTCTGTGCCTACTCATGGGGCTGACACACCGCCAGCTACACTCAGAGACTCCTTACTCTGTAACCACTAACTCACTTGTCTGATTTTCTTCAAACAGCATTTAGACTTTAGGTGTCTGTCATGCTAACATCTGAAGTGAGAACACAGGCCAGAGGCTTTGCAAGCAGAACTGAATGAACCACAGCCGTCTGGGGAACACTGCACATACGGCGGCCGGCTATAGACTGTCTGTCTCTGCAGCCATCTGGGGAACACTGCACATACGGCGGCCGGCTATAGACTGTCTGTCTCTGCAGCCGTCTGGGGAACACTGCACACACGGCCGCAGGCTATAGCACTGTCTGTCTCTCTAGCCGTCTGTCTGAGTGAACAACCCCCCACATTGTGGCTCACAAAGATCTGTAGTGAGACCTGGCACCCTCTTCTGGCCTGCAGGAATCAGGCAGGCAGAACACTACTGTGTACATAATGAATAAACAACTCTTTAAAAAATTGAATTATCAAAAAACTTCCCCAAATTAGCGAGGTATGGTGATATATATTTTTAGGCAAGAGATCGCTGAGTTCAAGGCCAGATGGGGCTTAAAAAAAAAAAAAACTGCACAAATAAAATGAACTTCAGGCCTGGCAGTGGTGGCACACGCCTTTAATCCCAGCGCTCGGGAGGCAGAGGCAGGTAGATCTCTGTGAGTTCAAGGCCAGCCTGGTCTACAAGAGCTAGTTCCAGGACAGACTCCAAAGCTACAGAGAAACCCTGTCTCGAAAAACCAAAATAAATAAATAAATGAACTTCAATTGCCTTTATTATTAAGACAATCAAAGAAGAAATCTCATCATGTTAACACTTTCAGAAGAAAATGGGCAAGTGGGAAAGCATCCTCCTGATTTTTTTTTTAAGATTTATTATTTTATTCATGTGCATGTGTCTACGCCGCATGTGGGTGAGAACCCAGAGGTCAGAAGGCGCCACCAGATCCACTTGAGATGAAGTCACAGGCAGCTGTCAATCAACTGACACGTGCTCCACATCTTTGTCAGGCCTGAGCACAAACCCACTTACCAGTGTCTTACAGTATCATTCACAGTGGCATAAACACTCCCCACCACTGTCTCTACACTGGCCGATTGCGGTGGCACAAACGCTGTCTCCCAGCGATTCTGCATATTCACCACAGTCGCACAAGTACTACCCGCCACTGTCTCTACACTGCCTGCCATTCACAGCAGCGTGAACCCCTACCAGCGCCTGTTACAGTTCACTGATACCAGTGCCCATGGAAGACAAACAACATGTATCAAAGCTCCCCCCACTGTTCAAGTTTGGCTTCCTCTCCGTGTGGTTTCTGCCAGGGAGCAGCTCTTTTGCTTCTGCAGCCAGGTGTTTTTTCTCCCATGTAAAGGAGGAAGACGGCATAATGGTTTTAGGTTTGTCAGGTCTTGGTTTTTTGTTTTGTTTTGTTTTTTTGTTTTTTAAACTCACCAGTGGAAAGGGTGTGTCTATAAGGCCCAAATGATGCTTTATCTCTCCCCCTAATTATACCAGGGGTGGAGGAACCTTCCCCTAAATGCCAGCGCATCAGGACTTGAGCAAACCGTTAGTGAGGAAAGCACCTGGGGACTTGGGACAGGGCCACTGGCTCTCCACTCTGAATCCTAAGAAGGCTGCTCCAAGCAGCACCCAGAGCAGAAGCCTCCGCTCTCTACTACACGGGTTCCTCTTCTACTTTGGAGGGAGGCCTGTAGGTACTTTGTGGTAGCCTCGGCATTTACACAACCAACACATACTTATTCTGCAGACAGATCAGAGTTTACCTTGAAGGCCACCTTCTCCTCTTCAGGTCCTTGGAGGCTGTCAACAGCAATACTGTTCTGTTTATCTAGTTTTAAGTTCAGATGTAGTATTTATTTATTTTTACTTACTAAGTCATCTTTGTCATTTTATTTTATTTTATGACGCAGGGCGGTGTAGCCCTGGCTGGTCTGGAACTTCCTTACTAAACCAGGATGGCCCTGAACTCAAGAGATCTGCCAGCCTCCTGGGTGCTGGAATTAAAGGCATATGCCACCACACCCAGCTACTAAGTCATCTTTGATCTTTTCTTGCTGTTCTTTAAAGTCCAAACTCTTTCATCTAAGTGAAGAAGTGTTGAAAATTATCTAATATTATAGCTGATTTAATAATTATTAAAGCAACTTTGGAAGATCTCAAAGAGCAGGTATTATCTTAGAATGACATACATCCCCAAAAGTTACAAAGTATATCCTTTGGTCACAATGCTGCTACCTGTTTTTGGATGGTCAACTTTCAGGCAGAAGTGCTCAGGGCCGTGAGGGGACATGGGGCTGCAACTCGGCAGTCCCAGACAGCTCATGTTACTTACCTCATTCTCATCCTGCAGGAGTGCTCTCTCTGTCACCTCTGGCTGGGTCTCAGGACCCCTAGGAGGGCTGTCCTGAGAAGGCACAGGAAACCCAGCTTCGTCCGCCCTACACTGTGGTACAGGGGGTAGCAGCAAGTCACCCGCGTGTTCTTGCTTTAGCACCTCTTTATCCTGTTTTGGGGGAGGGGGGAGAATAGATAATTTATTTTAGGCAAACAAGGAATTGAGGACCTGTCTAGACTTACTACAGGGCCCCCAAAATAAAAGTCCCGTTTTAGTCTCATGCCGCATGCCCAAGAGACCCAACCCTATGAACTGATCCACACAGTGTCCGACCCGTCCACAGTTCACCACCCCCAGGTTGGTGCTTTTCCCCAACTAGGATGCGCAGGACTTTACTTTGAATTCTTCCATGTGTCTTTTCTGTCTCTCCAGTTCTTCCTGGAGCTGGGCCATTTGTCTTTGTATGTTGACATTTGTCTCCTCGAGACGTTTAATTTCTTTTTCTTGGATTAACAATTGTTGATCTGCAAAATCTTTCTTTATGACCAATTCATTAAATCCATCTAATTTTTCTCTCAATTTTTCTTGTAACAATTCAACCTAAACACAAAAGCAAACGTAGAAAGAACGTAATAGAGTTAAAAAATCTTGCAAATAAAGCAGTCTATAACAAACCAACTAAGGTGTGATCTGTTGTTTCAAATCTCGGTGTACTATGCAACTACAGGCAGATCAGCAGTTGTTTAAGGACAAAAAAGAAGCACACGCTAAGCAGAATATAACCTCGAATGCATTAGTAAAATAAAACTTATTTTGACAGAAAAGAACGGAATACTACAGGGACTGGAGAGATGGCTCAACAGTTAAGAGCATTAGCAGTTTCCAGAGATCCTTTGTTCAATTCCCAGCAACCACCTGGTGACTCACAGCCATCTATAATAGGATCTGATGCCCTCCTCTTCTGGAATGCAGGCATATATGCAGACATAGCACCTTACACATAAAATAAATCTTAAAAAAAAAAAAAACAAAAAGAACGGCATACCGCTTTAGCAGTTAAAATAAAAAGAGAGCAACAACATGAAAGGAACTAAGGGAAGAAGAGTGATAAACCAGTCCTAAGAGGCGACACACAGGGCAGGTTCCAGGACAGGTGCCAAAAATATGGAGAAACCCTGTCTTGAAAAAAAAAAACCAACAACAAAAAAGGAGGTGACACATAATTTCAGTTCTAAAATGCTAGACCAGGAGCCTACACCTTCGAGCCACACCCCCTACACAGCCTACAGCTCTCTCTGGAAGTCAAAAAGTCATCAGTGCTGTGCCCTGGCAGCTCTGTTTATAAACCTGCTCCATGCTTTCTGTCATACACACATCATGTTGAACAACATCATGTGATGTGAAATTCACGCCACCCCTAGAAAGCTGTAAAGAGCCTAGTGTTTTCTTTGTCCAAGAGCTCTCGAGATTCTTCAGGGAGGCTGCTCACGGGGAGAGACTCATCTGCCCACATCACCCCTCTCGGGAAGGCTCCCCACCTGCTTATTCTCACTCTTTTTGTTTAATTTTTCAGATGTTTTTATGTATATGTATGTATGTTTTGTCCACATGTATGTAAGCACACACAGTTGTGCCGGTGTCGGAAGAGGGTGTTGGATCCTCTGGAACTAGAGTTACAGGTGGTCATGAGCCACCATGTACAAGTGCTCTTAGCCACTGAGGCATCTTTCCAACTCCTTGTTCTCACTCTCAAAGGGGGACTGGAGAGATGGCTCATAGGTTAAGAGCACTTGCTGCCCTTCCAGAGGACCCAGGCTCAATTCCCAACAACCACATGGCAGTTCACAACTGTCTGTAACTCCAGTTCCAGGAGATCCGATGCCCTTACATAGACATATGTGCACACAAAACACCAATGCATAGAAAGAAAGAAAGAAAGAAAGAAAGAAAGAAAGAAAGAAAGAAAGAAAGAAAGAAAGAAAGAAAGAAAGAGGGTTGTAAAAAAATAATAGAAAAAAGAAAGGCCAGGTAGTGGTGGTGCATGCCTTTAACCTCAGCACTTGGGAGGCAGAGGAATCTCTGTGAATTTGAAGCAAGCCTTCTACACAGTAAGTTCCAGAACAGCCAGGGCTATGTCTTGAAAAAGAAAAAGAAAAAGAAGAAAGAAAAGAAAAAAAAAGAGAAGGAAGGAAGGAAAGAGAATTTTAAATTTATCTATGTGTATGGCTGTTTCGCCTGCATATGTCTTCCTGTGCACCACATGCGTGCAGCATGCACAGAGGCAGAAGGACACCAGATTCCTGGAGCTGTGATGAATGGTTAGCTGTGAGCCATAATACGGATGGTGGGAACAGAAGCCGTGTCCTCTAGAGAAGCAGCCAGTGGTCCCGACTGCTGAACCATTTTTTCCAGCCCCTTATTCTCACTCTTACTGAAGGTCCTCTCCAGGTTTTAAGGGAAGCTTCTCCTCCCGTTTGAGGTCCCATCACGCTTCATTTCACATATTATCTCCACATATTTCTGTCGAAGGCTCTCGATCCCACCTGGAGACCCAATCGCAGCCTAGAAGCCTGCTCAATCTAATAAACCTCATCCCTACACATCCGCCTCTTTTCTGAACCAACCGCTGCAGTCCTTTTTGATATGTAATGTACAACACTGTGGGAAAGCATCGGGAGGAAGTGGTACCGAGGGCTGCCCGGCCTGTCTGCATCCCTTCAATACAAGGCTGGAAAGCAGGACTCTCGCTCAACAAGATCTGGCTCTTACTCCTCACAACTTCATGGGAACCCATTCTTTCCTTAAAATAAGTTTACTTTTTAAAACAGCACAAGCAAATCAGCTACAGCTACCTCAGTCAAGGGGTTGCAGACCTCCACAGCACGAAACGAAAGCACAAAGAGTAAGCAACAGGGTGGTGCACACAGCCCCAAACCGCCAAGCAGGGTGAGGGAAAGCTGTGCTAGGAAGCTGCAAGCCATCAGCTGACAGAAGGACGAAAGCAAAGGAGACGCCGTCATCCTACCTCCTCATCTAGCTGCGCACACTGTTGTTTTCACATCCATGGAAGGCAAAATGTAAAGAGAAACAACACTTTAAAATGTCGCAGTAATTAGTCACCCCCACACACCGGACACCACATGCTGACCTACCTGGCGGTCACGGGACCCAGGAGGCCGTGGCCGGGCTGCCTGGCGGAGCTGCTCCTCCAGCTTCTGGATTTCCTGCTGGAACTCTTCACGCTCGTGCTCACGCTCAGCAGCCTGCTCCTGAACGAGAAGTCACACGTGAGGACCAAAGCCAAGGAATGAGGCTCCAACCACACATTAAGCGTGTCTGCTGACCCCGTAACATCCCTTTCGCCACGGTCAACTTTCAAAATGGAGCTAAGAAGTCATCTAACGCTAAATTGCAAAGGAGATCCCCGAAAGAGTCATGGTATTTTGAAACTGCTGGAAGACAGTTTTGGTCTCTGTACAAACAGACTGATGCAAGAATGCAGCTGGACTGCTAGAAATTTCTCCCAATTCCATAGGAAGGAATATGGGACAAGAAGATGCCAGGATAACTCAGATTCATCTTCCAAAATGCAGGCAGGACGCCAAGCACCCACTCCAGTCAAGGCGACAAAGCCATTGAAATGAGTACTACACACAAGTCTGCAACATGATGGCACAGAAGCTATCCATGCTCTCGGTTGGCTAAGTGATGTAAACAAACAAACAAAACTTCTTACATCCATGAACTGACGCTGGCTACGTAAATGCTTGTCTAGGGCAGCCAGCTGCTGCTTCAGGGTGGTCACTTCCTCAGTCAGCTGGGCGCAGCCCCGGTGCTGCACAAGCTGGTCCTCCAACTCAGACTCCAAGACCCGCATCTGAGAGAGTAGGGTGGCACGGTCCTTCTCAGACTGCTTCCTGGCCTCCCACTGGTCTCTGGTCAGAGATTCCACTTCCTTCTGCAGGGCTAAGGATGCCAAGAAAACAGACATGGAGTCCTAGCTCAGAGCATGGACTTGTCCAAGCGGGGCTTGTGGTGACTGTCAGTGCCGGACCTTGACAGACTGCTCATAGGAACAGGAACTGGAACGGCGCGACAACTTAGAACAGTCACCACATCCAGCTGCCTTGAGATTCAAGCATGGTCCCCATGACAAAAGCCAAGCCTCACCCCTCTCCAAAACCTCCCCCCTGCAGAGTCGTGACAAGGGAGCTGAGCCAGCCGGTCTCCTCCTGTCAGACTTCAAGCCCACACCCTAACATACCCACAAGTCTGTAAGATGTTCTCAGAAAAAACCAAATTACTTCTAAAAACAAAAATCATTCTTTTAAAGTGAAAAGTGGCAAAACTTTAGAAGCCTAACACGAGTGTGTCCTGAAGTCGGAGGGGGTACACCTTTAATCCCGGCACTTGTGAGGCACAGGCAGGTGAAGCCCTATAAGTTCAAGGCCAGCCTGGTCTACACACAGAATTCCAGGACAGGCAGGGCTGTTAGTACTCAGGCATCTGTACTGGACTGCCCTGGGGGTCCTGACAGGCTATGCCCTCAGCTGTAGCCACTAAGAGCACCTCCTGTGCACATTCACTACGTTCCCTTTCAAAGGGCCCTGCGCACCTCCCATCTCTCTGTTCTTCCTTCCTTCTCTCCCTCCCTCTCTCTCTGCTTCTCTGCCTATCTCTCTGTCTGCCTGCCTCTCTTCTCTTCTGCCACTCCTGTCTCCAGAGGCTGGTCTCCCTTCTCCCCTCCCCTCTTCCCCCACCTGAGCATCTTTCTCTCACACACCACTTTAAAAACAGTGTGTCCTGGTAAGCCAGTAATATGTCACAATATTCTGCAATGTTTGTCCACATGTGTGTTCTTCAACATGAACTCAGCAGGAGGTAAAGCTTAGTGGGGGGTGGGGACGGCACACAGTGGCTCTGCAGGACTCACAGAACCAGTGGCAAGTCCTGAGTGACTACCGAAAGGCAGAGACACAAATTTCATTTCATCAGCACTCAAAACTGTCCATCTTTTCTGACAAACTAGTACCATCTCATCAAAACTCCATGCTAGGAAGTCAGCAGTTACAGTAAGCTCTCCTTAAACATGCAGTTATAACAATGTCAATTACAAACTTTAAGTAAGCTCAGCCAGTTGGCATTGCCTCATCATAAAGAAACACACAGGCCCCTTTAAGGGCTGATGTCAGCATCTTCCATTTGACTTCAGCGGGAGGGAAGGGGACGCGGCTTACAGGGGCTGTGGAGATGAGGACCTGATGGAAGGCAGACAAGGCATAAAGCCACAAGCAGGCCCAGACCCTCCCCAGGTCACCTGCCAGGAGTCCTGCACAGGGACCTGACCCAACAAACAGCATTATGGTCACAGAGCATCAATTCTTGCAAAACAGCACAAATAGGACTTAAAATTGCAGAAGTCATTAGAGAAAAAAGTAAATACCACCGTGTTGGGCAAGGTTTTACTCTTTATTTTGCATTTAGAGGGGCCCACTACCCAGCTCCCAAATAAATCACACACGGAGGCTTATTCTTAGTTATGAATGCTTGGCATTAGCTTGCCTTGTTTCTCGCCAGCTTTTCTTAACTTGAATTATCCCGACTATCTATCGCCTCTGGGTTTTTATCTTTCTTTCCTTGGTATCTTAGTTTCACTCTTACTCTATGGCCATTTGGATGGCTGGCCCCTGACGTCCTCCTCCCCTTCCTCGTTTCTCCTATTTATACTCTCTGCCTGCCAGCCCTGCCTATCCTTGTTCACCTACTGGACTGTTTGTTCAGCTCTTTAAGACCATCAGGTGTTTTAGACAGGCAAAGAATCACAGCTTCACAGAGTTAAACAAATGCAGCGTAAACAAAAGCAACACACCTTAAAATAATGTTCCCCAACACCTGGGACAATGCTGCCATTTTTTAATGAATGATTATTAAAGACTATAATATCATTCAATAATTTGCCAGAAAAGCTCTGAAGCATTTTTCCTCTTAGTCAGTAATTGGAAAAATTTGATGCAAACATACAGCGATCATGCAGAGGGTACACTCTCTACAAACCTGTGTCCTCGTGTGCGGAAGAGTCAGGAGTGCCTACAACAGGAAACAAACCATCACAGGGAAGGAAAGAGCCCAGACCAGCCAGCCAGCAGCACTGGGGCCTGCACATCTGGGACACCACTGCTGCCCCCAAGTGGACAGAGTCCAGCCCCCAGCGGGTTCAGGAGTTCATTTTAGAGGAAACTAGGAAAACAGACAGTAAAGACAACACTACCCCAAAAGTAGCCATGACATACACCTAAAGAAATGAAGAAACACCCAAGAAAAGTGAGGCAGGATGGAGTTCTCAAGGTTCCTGGGAAGTTGTTCCATATTTGCAGGACCCCAGGTGGCTTGAGGTCATCCCAGGAAGCCTGTGGCCAAGGAAGCCACAGCTGCAGTGTTGGCTCGAGAAAGAGAGGCTGAGGGGATATGAGCAATTCGGATCCACAGCCCCAGGGTGGAAGGGTAAAGACACAAGAGTGAAAATCAAGGCTGTGGAAACAATTCCAAGTGACCCCCAGCCGAGAAGAGCAGAGAAGTTACAAGAGCCTGCAGTGACAGAGCCCAATGAGAAGGGATTCTCTGAGAACAGTCGGCCAAAGACGCGCTCCTAGAGAGGCCCAACCTCAGCTTGGGTCTCTGCCATCACAGTGCTACACAGTGTGATGATTGCGGGAGACAAAAATGTAAGGGATGGGGAGTTGACAGCCCCAAAAGATTCCCAAAGAGCTCCGAATAGGCACATGGGCTACATGAGTAGGCTGCAAACCAGTCCATGGATGCTAAGGCTCTACCTGCTACATCATAGTAAAAAAATACAAGGTGTCCAGGGACGGGATTCAGGCACAGGGTACAGCCCTTGAAAAATGTTCCAGCATAGAAAAGGGGCCTTAACAGAAAGTAGGACATTTAACTGAATGAGCTGGGCACAGGTCATTTTCTCTCTCTCTCTCTCTCTCTCTCTCTCTCTCTCTCTCTCTCTCTCTCACACACACACACACACACACACACACACACACACACACACACACNTCTCTCTCTCTCTCTCTCTCTCTCTCTCTCTCTCTCTCTCTCACACACACACACACACACACACACACACACACACACACACACACACACACACACGGTGGGGACAGAGGGAAGCACCGGAGTTTCTGAAAACCTGTGAAGCAGGACACAGTTACAATTACGACCACCAGTGTCAAGGAGGGAATGGCCCGAGAGTCATGTTTGCCCAGCTATGTCCCAGAGAAGGGAAATTAAAATAAAGGCACGGGGGAAAAATACAGGAAAAGCAAATAGAGAGGGCAAGGCACTCACGAAGTGGAAGTGTTTCTGACATGTGGGAGACAACCTGCTAAAGCAGCGGGGTGTGGTTCTGGTTTATCCATTTTCATTCTGAACACAGCTAAGATATACATAAAAACCTGCTGAACATGGTGGCATGCCGCAATCCCAGCACTCAGGACACGGAGATAGGAGGCTGGCTAAAAGACTAGCCCAGGCAACACTGTAAGCCCCTGTGCCTCCAGAAAGTAAAGATCTCATTTTGAAAGTATACTGTGGTTTGAATCCTGAACATTCCCTCAAAAGCTCCTATGTTAGAAGTCATGGCCTCAAATACAGTTGTGTTCTGAGTCAGAACCAATACCAGACATTTATCTTCAGTAAGATTTTAGGCCAGGTCATTCCCCAGAGCTTGATACGTTAACCTGCTGCCCCAAGGGCAGTTCCTTCCCCAGAGGCACAGCTCATTAGCAATGTCAGCCTTAAAGGCCCATCTCCCTCTGAACCACTGCAGAGCAGCTGGATGCTACACCCTAGCCAGCTGTCCTTCTTCCCGTGGCCTGCCCTTCCCATAAAGCATCCCACCCAACCATGAACTCCCCAGACTGCCTCCTTGCTTTTTATATTTCCACCTCCTCAAAGACCAAGTTTATGTGTACGCTGGGGTCAGCTGCTGCACCCCCGTCCCACTCAGTCCTCCACCATCACCAGCTCTCACCAGCTTCTCTTTCTTTTGCTTCATTAGTGAAAGTTTCCTTCTGGTTCCACAGGACAGAGTTTTCTTCCCTCAGCGTGGCCAGTTCCTGGGCTGCTTGCTGCAGCTGATTCTGCAGGTTCTCCAGCTCCAGGATCAGCTGCTGTTCCGACTCCTCCTTCTTCCCCAGTGTCTCCTGCAGATCTGCTTTCTCCACCTTGAGTCCTTCAAGGAGCCCTAAAAGACAGGCCAAGCGCAGAGATATGCTTCACAGGTTTTCTCTGGTGCTACCCATGGGGAAGGATGAGAGGCTGCTGGGACTCTGGACAAAACACTGATGTGGCCCGCCCGAGTACTAGAAGGTCAGGGCAGGTCACTTCTGGGGGAGGTACAGGGTCAATAACACTCAGTGAAGGGAGCTGGGTCTCCAGACAAGCAAAGCCCTGGAGAGAACTGCACTCCAGGGAGCCCATTCGCCTGTGCAAAGATCCCAAATGTTCTGTGACAAGATGGCCATGGGCAGAGCCGGGTACCATCTGATGGCTGAGAGACACAGATGCGCCAGTTGTGGTGGTGCACGCCAGGAGGAATTGCTGAAGGAGGCAGAGGCAGGAGGATCACAAGTTCGAGAGACACAGATGCACAGAAGATGAAAGCCCAGTGCCAAGTGACAGCAGGCACTGCAGGGCCCTCTGGAGCCCACAAACAGATCTATCACCAACATGGGATCCCCAAGCCAATGATAAATAAACCAAATAAAACGTCTACTGAGGGACAAAGCCAGTATTTCACCCTGACATTTTGCTATTAAAGACCCTGCTTCCCATGCTTCCTGCAGGACGGACATACCTACTTCCATGCCTCAGTCTGGTTACACAGTACGCCACTCACCCTCTGCAGTGTGCAACTCCAGGGTCAGCCCATCCTTGGCCGCACTCTCCTGCCTCAGGCGTTCCAGCAGCTCCTGCTGCTTCTGCACAGCCTGCGCCATCTCCTCATTCCTATGACGGAACTCTTTCTCAACACAACGATGGAGCTGGCGTGCTTCCTCCAGCTGTTGAAATACGTTTGAAAATCACAACTCCATATAAAAAATACAGAGGGTATAAAAAGGAGGAGGAAGGGACCAAGACCCCAGGTCCCCAGCAGCAGAGCTAGGGCTGAGAGACAGTGCCATGGCAACAGAGCCGTCTCCACATGGCTAACAGCTCCTCATTAGCTTCCTTTACCACCCCCTTTCCAGCATTTGTATCTCTAGAACAGGCCATCTACAGGACTGGGCCTCTTAAACACAAAACACGTTCACCTCACAGCCCCCAGCACACAAGAGAGCATCCAGGCCCAGGCCTCCCTTGGCTCCTCACTAATAGCCTTCCTTGGGGCTCAAGATGTCCACAGGCCTCTAAGGTCTTTTGCTTCTTCTTTGAAAATGGTCCAGAGGCCACTTCTAATGTTTCTATCCTCCCATCCTCCAACAGGCTGCTTCCTCCTGGTTCTGCCCCTTCCTGCAGCCAAGGTCAAATGTGGTTCTGCCAAGAGGCCTGTCTGACTGCAATCCAACCCACAGCCTTCTGCTACCGGCCTTGCATCAGCTTTAGAGAGCTCCTGTACCTCCCACAAGGCTATTCCCATGATGGGTGTGATAGGCCCTCTAACGTCTCCCCATATCCTTCCCCAAAGACACATCCTCCACAAGGCAATGCTTTTTCGTTTGTTTTTGTTTTTTGAGACAGGGTCTCTCTGTTGCTCTGGCTGTCCTGGAACTCAGAGATCTAACAAAGCAAGAGCTAATGAAACAGCAGCCCTGTGGTGCTCGCTAGGATGCTCCCGCTGCAAAGGCTGGGCCTGTGGGCCATTAGATGCTCTCAGAATGAGGGGCTTCCTTACAGATACACATGGTGACCACCCAAAGCACCTGATTATAAGTAAGATGCTAGACATGTTGGTTCCTGAGAGAGGACAGTAGATCCCACTAAAGAACTGGGCTTATGATTTGATGGGAAGTAAGAATCGGAAACTCTAGTCTCCATCACCTAGGAGGGGCACTCACTCTACCGCAATGCTGCACATTGATCTTGTCACCCGCTAACCTCAGAAAAAGAATCTCATTTATTGCTTTCTCTATCTTCATATTTCTGTCTTTTTCTTTCTTTTTTGTTTATCAAGATAGGGTTTCTATGTGTTAACAGTTCTGGCTTTCCTCAAACTTTCACCCGCTAACCTCAGAAAAAGAATCTCATTTATTGCTTTCTCTATCTTCATATTTCTCTCTGTCTTTTTCTTTCTTTTTTGTTTATCAAGATAGGGTTTCTATGTGTTAACAGTTCTGGCTTTCCTCAAACTTACTCTGTAGACCAGGCTAGCCTCAAACTCTGCCTCCCAAGTGCTGGGATTAAAGGCATGTGCCACCACCACCTGGCTCACATTTCCAGTTAATAACTTTTCCAATTACCAAAAACGTTCTAAGAAATTGATCAAAAAGTCCATTTCTTAGTGTGATCTCCAAATAGAAAGCATTAGTATTCAGTAAAGCAAAAAAAAGCGGATTTGCAGGTTTCAATTTTTTGTTTTTGTTTTTAAAGGACAATGTCTGGCCTAGAACTCGCTATTAAACTAGGCTGGCTTCCCATGTGCTGGGATTAAAAGTATGTGCTGCTCCTCCTGGCCCTGGTGCTGCTTTTGAGACAGGATCTCATATAGCCTAGGTTGGGCCTCAAACTGTTAAACAAGAGATGACTTTGAACTCCTAGTCCTTGTGTCCACCTTCTAAGTGCTAGGATTTCAGGCATGACAAGCCCTGTTTACATAGTACTAAGGATCAGCCCGGGGCTGTATCAACTGAACCATATCGACTAAAGAAGCATGCATGAGAGCACCATCAGTAGTAACAAAGATTAAAATCAACAAGGGAAAGCGGACAGCACCCAGAAAAAGTCAGGGGCTTCTGCCTCTAAACACCTAGTGCAAGAAGGGGTACTGGGCGCCCCATGGGTTCGGAGCTACCTGAGAAATGAAGATACTCTTTGTAGCCTGCAGGTTGGAATGAGAATTGGAACCTGGCAGTGACGGTGGTAACGTAGCATCCACCCAGCTCTGTCAGGGCATCACCTGTCTACCCACTCCCCCATTGGCCTCTGTTATGGCCGTGGGCCTCACCTGTTTAGTAGAGTCCAGGGCCATTTCCAGGAGGCCATCCACAGCCGAGCTGAGGCTCTGGTAGACTTTCCTAATGGGCTGCTCACACTCCAGTGTGTTTTCGGGGCTCATAAAAAAGCTTTCGCACACATGACTGCTAATTTCTGACACTGAGGACGTCTCCGCCCCTTCAGGCAGAGTTCTATCTATCTCAAGTAGACCCTCGTCAGACCACATGTCGCCAAGGGCTGCAGCTGCAAGATAAACAGACAGACATCCACACCTTTACCCAGGGAGCTCACCATCCAGTTGAAGAATTTAGGGGAGGTGGCGGATGACACACCTTCTTAGCAAAGGAGAACCAGATAATTTTACCTAGGCCTGACCCTTGTCCTCCCGGAGTACGGGAGCTGACAGTGAACACAGCTCCTGGGGAACATTCTCGGATCCTTTCCTAGGACACAAGGCCCTAACAGACAACCATCTTTAGCATGTACCTGCTAACCGGGCATCACTTGTATCTGCAGCATCCACATCCAGGAGGAGCCCCGCACGCTCACTGATTCGGCTCTTTAGGGTGACAGCAGCCTTCAGTGTTTCTCCAAACAAATCGAGCAGTCTCCTCAGAGCATCGCGGAGTACTTTCCTAAGACAGAGAACAACCATCATCCTTGGGCTGCTCTTGGCCCTGGGAATCCTCGCAAAACGCTGATCACCCATCTACAAACACCAGGTAGAGTCCAAAGCCATAAGACAATATCAGAAGCCCACCGTCCCTGACCCTGACGCTAACTAACACAGGAAAATCTTCCACAAAGAAACTATTTTTTTTTTTTTTTTTTTTGGTGGGAGGGAACGGCAGTTGGTTACAGGGAACAAAACTTTGGTAAAACAATGGATTTTGCTACTGTTTGGTGACATGAAGAGCTGGCAAAGCGTCAGGTATGCAGGTACTTAATGTCAAGTCTTTAAGACTTGACGACGACATGGTGGCATCTCTAAACCCCAGGTATCAGTATGTCCAGACCCCCCACAGCAAGTGCAGCGGGCTGGGAGATGCAGCCGTGCTGCTGCTAGTTAGGCAGCCATGTGATGGGGAAACACCCACCCTTCGCTCCGAGCCAGGTCTGCATCGGCCCTGAGCATGCAGATGAGAGTGGCGCCCTCCTGGTTCTCCCGCTCCCGCCTCTGCTGCAGCCTCTCCAGCTCCGTGCGGCACTCTTCGAGCTCCCGACTCAGCGAGAAGACCTGGCCTTTCAGCTGTCGAGAAGAAGGGAAAGCTCTGATCAAACTACTCAGTTAAAGCGGGTGACTGCAGAAGATGCCACCCCAAGTTTATATTACATTCGACAAAAACGACAAACAGGGGTGACTGAAGGTGAAGTACTGGATTTTCCTTCATCATTTACTACTTACCAAATACGTATACGTAAAGAATTTCTACTTGTTCCTGATACTAGAAAAATGAATGGGCAGACTCATAGAATTCATCTATCAAATAATCATTCAAAACAAAACCCCTGTACCTAGTCATTCACAGTGAAATTAGTCACCACACAGACAAAGATCCTTCCTACATGTTTTCTCTTCAAAAAATGGAGGCGAGCTAGGTGTGGAGGCGCACACCTTTCATCTTAGCACTCAGGAGACAGGGTGGGAGGATCTGAGTCTGAGGCCAGCCTGGCCTACATAATGAGTTCTAGGAGAGCCAGAGCTATGTAAAGAGATGCTGTCTCAAAAAAAAAAAAAAAAAAAAAAAGCAAGACAGAGGCTCGGCACCTCGGTAGTTCAGGACAAGTAGCAGGTAGGCTAGCTTTCTTGCTGCTGGCTACAAGGGCTTCCCATGCTGTCCTAAGTAGTAGCCAGATCACAGTAATCTGATAGCTCTTAGCTTACATGGGAAAGGTACCAGCCAGAGCACCCTTAATCCAAGGGCAGGCCATCTGTGAGTGACAGAGACTTTCCAAGAGTCCATGGGTCTGCTGACATGAACATGGGCACCTCAAATGAAAGAGGAAAGTTCAAAGGAGACCACAGTTGCCATCCATGCCTGTGGAGACACCAGACAGAACATAGCCAATAATCACCCTCTAGTCAAACAGAAGGGTCTCTCCACGCCCCAGCCCCCATCGCATATGCACATCTGTGTCAGGGCAGAGATCAGCTGACATGCTCCAGGTCAGGATCCAAAGACAAGTGGTCTCAAGTAGAGAAGCTGCACACGGCACAGCAGCAAGCTGGGAGCACACCTACCCAGGACACCAAGTGCTGCAGCAGGTCACAGCGGGGGGGGGGGGGGGGGAACAACTTATAAAGTACAGAAACTGCGGGGCGGTGGTGGCGCACACCTTTAATCCCAGCACTCAGGAAGGCAGAGGCAGGTGGATTTCTGTGAGTTTGGGACCAGCCTGGTCTACAAGAGCTAGTTCCAGGACAGGCTCCAAAGCCACAGAGAAACCTTCTCTTGAAAAAAAAAAAAAAAAAAAAGTATTAAATAGGCATGCTAGAGAGATGGCTCAGCAGTTAAGAGCATTTCGGCAATCATGAGGCACCCATATAACCCAGATGTTCTGGCAATCTATCATAAACCCCGCTCCAAGAGGCTTAGAGACAGGAGGATCACAGGGACTTGGTGGCTTCCAGTCTAGCTGAGAAAACATGAGCTCCAGGTGCAAGTAAATATCCTGCCTCAAAAGAATAGGCAGAGAGTGATACAAAAAAGGGGAGGTGGCATTTAACACTCTGGCCTCTGTGCATACACATGCACAGGAATGTTTAAACAGGAAGAAAGGGCAGCAGGAGAGCAGACTGGAGTAAGGAGTGTGATTCTGTAACTGCTCACTATACAGAGGCTAACTGGAAGCAGTGTCAGCGCAGAGACCACAAAAATACAGACCCCATAAAACCACTGGCAGAATCAGGCTAACGCATAGGTAGCTGAAATTTAAAAAAGTTTCAAGATAGGAAACAGTGACCAGGAGACAGAGAATGAATAGCACACACCAAGTGTATTGAAACTATGTGCTAAGACAGTTTACGGCAGAACTTAACTCTCCAACAGCCGGTCTGCAACAGACTCCTGGCACAGCCACGCCTGACCCTACAAGTGGCCTGGAGGTGGCTACAGCCATGGCTGATGGCTGACATAGTCCCGGAGCTCTGTCTGTCTACCTGCTTCTCTCTCACCCCATCCACTCACATTTGGGTTGTGGGGGCTAAGGGCCCTCGAGCAACATTAGCCAAGAAAAGAAGGAAAAGCAAGTATCTTAGTAAAACTGGATTTGAAAAAGAAAGGCCAACACTGAGTAGGTGGTGGGAGTCCTAGGTCCGTCTGGACTACGTGATAGGATCCTGTCCAAAAAAGAAGGAAGTGCTAAACAACCAGAAAGGAACGAAGGAATGAACAGGCTCTGCACATAGAGGAAAATCATCTGAAGGACTCGCTGAGGATCCCCTGAATTCATGATAGTATTATTAAGTTAATTCGAACCCTATGAAAGAACCATGTTCTGACTCAATCTGGAGTAACTTCTGGGGTTGGAAATAGCCGTGTGTTGCTATCGACAGGTAGCGAGCTGGCTAGCATTCGTTATGTCATGGAGCCCTGTACTTTTTACTCATATAGGTTCAAAGTGAAAATTAAAATTTCATATTTATTAACTTACCCTCTGGAACTGATAAAGGTTTAAACTTGGACAACTCTGTGGTGTTGCGGTAACTGAGAACTGGATAAAATGGCACAAGTGCAGAGTTTCTCCAATGGTAAACAGATTTCACAGTGCTAGATGTGGCTTTTCTACATGCACGCTCCAGTAACTTTATTCACTATAGCATTTAATCATTTATTAATGTTTTCTACACCTCTGGTAATGAATTTAAGTTATAGTAAGTGTCAAATAATCTTAATATAAAAATACAACTGAATGTTGGAATAAGTTTGATACTTTTTATAGAGCTATGTTTTCAAAATTAAATTGGTAACTTAAAAGAAAATTAAACTGAGGGTTGAAGAGATGGCTCAGTAAGAAAAGGTGCTTGCTGCACACTGTAAGGATCTGAGATCAAATATCAGGTACCCAGGTGAAAAGCCTGGTACAGCTATATGCTCAGGTAACCTCAGCAATGCTGGGGGAAGAGACTACAAAGTAAAGTCTTGTTTCAAACAAAGAAACAAAACACCTAAATCTCTTGTCCACATCTCTAAGCACAAGTCTAGCCTGTAAAAGATGGGTAAGATTTCTCCTGAGAGAGCTATAAAATCCAGTGAGGGATATTACTACAAACAGCCACTCCAAAGTTTTGATGCTTCCATTCCACAAAGAAACCAATGTTTCAAAGTCTATTGGAACACCACTATCAAGGCATTCTGAGCTAGTCCTAACACAAGCAGGAGTGAGGGGAAGAGCACCACGATTAGGGATGGAGCTGCAAGACTCCAGAGGCTCCCAAGGGGAGGGGCACGGGCAAGGTCAGCAGCTACCACTCCTGAGAACCCAGACCCTGGCTGCCTGGGAAGTAACTTCCTACATGTCCTCCCACATGGAGGGAGAATGTCTGTATAAAATAGGGGAAGGTCTGTCAAGCAAGCACCAAAAGTCTAAGCTTGAAGGGAGAAAAAAGTAGCAAGACAATTCAGCGATCCAAACATACGGAAAGAACAAGATGGTGTACAGCTCACTTAGCATGCGTGAGCTGCAGCACTGCCCCCACTTCCCCACTTCCCCAGAAAGTCCAGCACATGCTGTAATCTCAGCGCTTGAAAGACAGGAGCATCACTAGAGGATCATGACTTTGAAGCCATCTGAACAACAAAATCTTAGTTCAGAACAAAACAATCATAAATCTGAAATAATCGAGTGCCTAGCAGGGGCGGTGCACGCCTTTAATCCCAGCCCGAAGAGCAGGCAGATCTGTGAACGAGTTCAAGGCCAGCCTGGTCTACAGAGTAAGTTCCAGGATAGCCAGAGATGCACGAGAAACCTGTCTCGAAAACCAAGAAAATCCACGAAAATGTGTAAGAAGGAAAAAAAAAATTCAAAAATAGAAAAAATATCAAATGATACAAGGAGGCATTTTACATTTGAAAAACACAGACTGACTATAAACATATGAAGAGATGCTCACTTCGTTGGCAAATAAGGAAGTGCAAACTTAGGAACATGACATCATTTCATAGCCCCAAAACCAGCAGGACAGGTAGGGCTGACCGGACAAGTAGGGTGTGAAGTGTGGGAAGAGCACAGTAGAGGAGGCTAGGATTTCCTAATCATGTCGGATACGGCAGAGGGCTCTAAGTGAGCGGGGCAGACCCTTGGGACAGAAGACCTCAAAGAAAAACCACAGTAACTTAACTGATTAAAGCAGGAAAATGGAAAAAGGCCAACGGCCCTGCTTAGGTAACATCACAAAATGAAGCACAGCAATGAGCGTTTCACACGCCGTGCTGAGCCTCAATGTACAATAGAGACAACGGGGCCAGCAAAAGGGCTCAAAGGGTAAGGTACTTGCTGCCAAGCCTGACACCCCGAGTTCAAACCCTATTCCCACAGAGCAGAGAGAACCAACTTGCACAAATTGTCCTCTTGCCTCCACATGTATGATGTCACTTATTCAGGCCCACCCAATAGTAAATAAACTGGGGGGGGGGGCTGAAAAATATGTCCCTTGTGCAAAATTCAAATACAAAGTTACACAAGTGTATTATTCAGAAGTGCACTAGGAAAAAAATGAAACACATTAAGTAGTGTAAAAAAAAAAAAAACCTAGACCAGGCGATGGTGGCGCATGCCTTTAATCCCAGTACTCAGGAGGCAGAGGCAGGCAGATCTCTGTGAGTTCGAGACCAGCCTGATCTACAGAGCTAGTTCCAGGACAGGCTCCAAAGCCACAGAGAAACCCTGTCTCGAAAAACCAAAAAAAAAAAAAAAAACCTAAAAATACAAGATGATAGCGTCCATGGGAAGGAAAGGGGCATGAGCTCAAAGAGAAACACTGTGGAGGCAGAAGCTATAAGCTACTTAATCTGGGTAACAGGACATGGTTACTTTTCACAGTGTTATTTTAACTGCATATGTGTGGCACGATTAATAAAAACCCAGAGAGAAACTGGGGTTCAACCTGAAGGTCAGAAAAGCAAAACAGCCAGCCACTGGCTCTTACCTCTACCTCAGTCCAAAATGGCGATCCTGCCTCCATTATTCCTCAGAATGAGACTGTGTGAGAGCTATCTCCTCCTATTTTATATTCCTCTCTAGGCCTGGGATTAAAGGCGTGTGCCACTACTGCCTGGTTTCTATGGCAAACTAGTGTGAGCTACTGGGATTAAAGGTGTGGGTCACCACTGCCTGCTCTGTAAGGCTGACCTGGTCTCTGGTCTCTCTGGTCTGCGGGCAAGCTTTATTTATTAAAATACTCACTACACCCCTAGGCTTTGACTGCCTGTTGGCCACTCACCTCCCTGTGCAGTCACCGTCATGTCAAGCGACCTCCAGCACAAGTGAGGTCTCACAGTTGGGACCATGTCCCTTTCATCTGACACTGTTGACAGACAGTGGCTCTAGCATTCAGTAGCCATGGGAGTTTGAAAATCACGGAACTCCCACTGGTCCCAGTACCCAGAGTACAAACACAGGGTAAGAGATACAGCAACGAGAACACGCTGCCACACGTAACACACCACGTGACATACACGCACCAGCATACTGACCCTGCCAGGGCACCAGCAAGTTCAAGCCTGCATGACTGCTATAGGAAGACATGAGACGTACTCAATTTTCAAAGATTAATTGTATGAAAAGGCATTTATACTTTTATAGATTATAAAGCCAGTCAATTTAAAAAAAATGGTGAGATGGCTTAGCAGATAAAAGTGTATGTGTGTGTGTAAACTATACATACTGAGCAGGTTGTAATTATACACACACATACATATATTTATACCTACAATGTAAATAAAAATAAATCTTCAAAAAGGAAAAGAAATGATGCTTTTAAAGCTCTTTTTAGATTTCTCCTGCAATAAAACAGAAGAGCCAGCAAACTGCGTCCCCTGTATTCAGCTGGTGGTCCTTTGTCACTGACCATGAACAGAAAAAATAAAGGGGTTCACATAGGACCCCATTAGGAAAAGCCAACAATGGAACACGGGCCTACTGAACCCAGGTCTACACAGGCTGACACTGGGCCCTTCTGCCTTCAAGCTGAGCCGCAGGAACCGCCTGGCTAAAGGATGGCTCAGTGCAGGCTTCACTGTCCCTGTCTCAGGAAGGGCTTTAAGGCACACACGGAATACCTTCTTGTACACAGGACACACGTATTCCAAGGGAAGCTAGCACACAGCAGGCAGCCCAACCTCCCACCAGGCAGAGCCTTCGTGTAGAGCACTGTCCTAGGGAAGCCTGCAGCGGACAAACCCGGAGAACTGCACACATTCAGGAACCTCACAGGGGGCCACCACAGTTACAAAGTTCATCTGACGGGGGACTAACCAAAAGTTCCGCCCTTGCAACTTCTTCCCACCTCTAGCTGTCTTGGCCTTCTTTACAACCATTTTGCTAGTATAGTCAATATAAAAAATGGTGTCTGGTGGGCAAAGATGACTTGGCACTTGCCGCACTTCTGGACGATCTGAGTGTGGTTCCCAGCATCCATCAGTCACCTAACAACCACTCATAACTCCAGTTCCTGAGGATCCAACACCCTCTTCTGGCCTCCACAGGCACCACACACATGTGGCACGCATGCATGTACATACATACACACACACACGCACATGCATGCATACACACATGCACATGCGCGCACACACACACAAGTAAAAATAAAACTTTCAAAAAATGTTTTTAAAAAGTTACTCTTAGATTGCTCTAACCACCTACAAAAATACAGTAAAGTACTGTCTACTAGAAACTAGAATAAGCAGCCTCGGAAAGAACAAAAGGGAGAGACAGTGCACAAAGAACACCACTTACAATGAAGGCAAACATTGCTAATAGAGAAGTACAGACACTCAGACTACATAAAACCTTCGACAGTTCTCTCACCACTTCCAAAGACTAGGCTATGAGCAGGTCTGGTTTTTCTACAAGAAAATATGAAACCACCCTATACAGTCACCAGTGGTCACTCTGCAGCTACTTCTGGACCACAGTCCTTGCCTAGTGTCAACAGCCAGGGAGACTTCTTCATGGGACACAGTTCTATCAAAAAGAAATCAAGCTAGCCAATTGGTGGCACATGCCTTTAGTCCCAACACTCAGGAGGCAGAGGCAGGAGGATCTCTGGGAGTTCGAGGCCAGCCTGGTCTACAGTACTAGTTCCAGAACAGTCAGGACTACCTGGAAACCCTCTCTGAAAAAGCAAAAACAGAAAAGAAAGAAATCAAGCTTACATTTTCAGAGACTATTTTTCACAAGCACACTCCAAAGGGCGGTAATCTGGGAAGCACCCGCCTGACTAACGCGCGCGCGTTCTCTTCAATGAGCCTGCTGAGAAGAGACTTTGGTCTCCAGACAGGTGCAAGATATTTGTGGCTCAACAGAGCATGGAGGACAGCAAGAACAGCATGTCCCTGCTATTCTGGGACACTGGTCCTGGCATCCTGGGGAGCACTCTGAGAGGCTCTCTGAAATGTCTGTCAAAGCAGAAGACCCCAAAAGAAATGTCTCACAGCCAAGGCAAGACTGACCACGTGACAAGACTGCTTATGCTTAGAGACCCGCCCACACAAATGCAGGGCAAAGGGTAAAGAGCCAATCACCCTCACAGGAACAAAAGTTAAAGACTCAGTGCACACAAGGCGCTGTGCAGAGCCTGAAAGAAGCAGAAGTTTAAGCTAGGGATGGGATGAGATGGAGGAATGTCTGTTGCTTTATCCAGCGAGTGTGGGTCCTGGAGGGGCTTTACAGGGGCCGCTGATACAAACACCAATGCCAGCATGCAGCCTGATGAACAGTAAGGTTAAGGGTTTATTTGATTGTTATTGATCCATTCAATATTGTGCATATTGAATCCCCCTCCAAACAAACAACAACAACAAATTGACAAGGCCCTACAAATTCAAGCTGTCCTGGAATTTGCTTTGTAGACCATGTTGGCCTCAAACTCACAGAAATCAGCCTGCCTCTGCCTCCTGAGTGCTGGGATCAAAGGAATGCACCACTATTGCCAGGCAAAATGTAGTAGTTTTTCAATTAACATAAAATAGTAAAATAGCACCTCTACCTCATCACAGCCAACTGCTCCTATCTTTGAAATCAGCTGTACACAGCACCCACGCGAAAAGGAATTAATTATGCACCCAGCCAACAGGGGCAAAGCTACACCATCCCTAGAAACGATCAGACACCTCAAGCATCGACAGCATCACTACAGATACTGCCAAGCACTCAACAGTGCAGCCACAGACGGCCCCAAGTCCTCTACAGGACAGTTCTACCACAAATGTCCCCAGCACTCACCAGCACTACCGCCCAAGACAAGCATGGAAAACCAGAAAACAACCTTCATACATAGCTCTGAAAGCCAATTCCATGTGTTGCAACAGAAAGGATGGATAAGAGCTACCACCAGCAACAGGAGAGCAAATCACTAAAAAGGTACTGGCTTCTCAGCACACTGGCAGCTCAGGACGGCCCCTCCAGACAGGAGGGACAATGCTTGTGTGCCCCGTGCGGGCAGACTACAGCCTCAGAGTATAAGGCTGCCCTCCAGACCCGTCCACTCTCTCTGGCTCTCAAGCACAGTACTACCCTGCGGCAGATCTCGTCTTCTGAGATCCCTTGCCACTTTATAACAGCCCTTGAGGGCTGAGCCCTGAGCAGGACCCAGAGGCTAATACCTAGACTTTAAAGTAAGTGATTTATAAATTCTAATTTCAGAAATCAAGGCACATGTCACAGTGACTATGAGCTATTAGCCTAGCAAACCTAGGCTCTATCTGATAGCTAAAAAATACATTTTTGTAGCCTTGTTTTGTCTTTTTTTTTTTTTTTTTTTTTTTTTTGAGAAAAGGTTTCTCAGTAGTTTTGGAGCCTGTCCTGGAACTAGCTCTTGTAAACCAGGCTGGCCTCGAACTCCCAGAGATCCACCTGCTCTGCCTCTGCCTCCCGAATATATATATTCTGAAGAAACCAGACTGTGCACAGCTGCACTGTGCCGACAGTCACAACCATGTGCAGCAGCTTACTCCACCACATCCTCTACTCTCTCCACATGGTTGATTCCTACAGTTGAGTCGATGCCTACTTGTGTCCTGTCTTTGTGAGCAGGCATTTAAATACTGCTCTTAAGACAGGAGAGATGGCTCAGCAGGAAAAGTACTTGCCCTAACTCTGAGGACAAGAGTTCAAATCCCCAGTATCACATAAAAGCAAGAGGACTTGCCTATAATCGCAGCAAGCAGAAGGCAAAGACAGGATCCTCAGAGCAATCTGGCCCTCTAGACTAGCTGCAACAGTGAGGTCTGGATTCAAGGGAGAGACTCGACTTCAAGAAATAAGATGGAATGATTGAGAAAGACATTTGACAGTCAACCTCCTGCCTCCACACATGTACAAACACACACACACACACTGAGTGCATCCACATGAATGCAAACAAACATAGACACATGCATATACAAATACACACAAATCAAACTCAAAACCAAAACATTACTCCCCACTGAGCTGAGCTCCAGCAGAGACCCCAGTATCCATGGTCAGTGTGGCTCCACGGTGGTCATCAAATGGCCCTAGACAGCACAGCAGCACCAATGTGCTACCCTATGGGACGATACACGGGGAAGCTTACCTGTGCAGCCTGTTCCTGAGATGCCTGCAGCTCTGGAGGTTTGGCCAACTCTGCTTGTGGCTTCTGCATTTCAACAGTGTGTGTGGCTCCCCGATCCTCAGGCACAGCTTGGTGCAGCAGGACCTCAGCACCCACGCTACCCAAGGCTGCATGCCCGTCCTTCTCTAGCAGGGGCCTCTGAGCCCTCAGTTCCTCCTGCTGAGAGAGAGTTTCCATGGTGTCAAGCCATAGCGTACCCCAGATTTCCCCATCCCAGGAGTGTAATATGTGCAGGAAGTGGTAATCATTCCAAATGCTTCCTATAATTAAATTCTGTCAACAATAAAGTTCAACCATGACTTAAAGTATTTGTGTGAGACGCATGCTTTTACTTTTAAAATAAACGTTATCTTAGAATTTTAAGATGCATTTCTATCATTTTTAATTATGTAAGGTGTGTGTGTCTGCGTGTGGGTATGGGTATAGAAGAGAAGGTGTCAGCAGAGGTCAGAGATGTTGAACCTCCTGGAGCTGGAGTTACAGGCAGTTGTGAGCTGCTTGGCATGGGTGCTGGGAACCAAACCTGGACCCTCTGGAAAAGCAGCAAGTGCTGAACCATCTCTCCAGCCCAGAACCCAATTCTCTTTAAACCAAACGAATCAAGATGATCCACGGGAAGAGTGGGGAGAGGGGGAGGAGAGTGGGGGCAGGGGCGATGTGTGGGAGGAGGGGGAGGGAAATGGGAAATGGGGAGGAGGCGGAAATTTTTTCAACAACTAAAAAAAAAATAAACAAAAAAAGATGATCCACAGGTTCAGATCTGTGGACTGGGAATAAGGTCCAGTCCCTTAACTTGTACTGGTTTGTGGCAGGGGAGAACAGATGTCTACTAACCAAAGCTGCAGTTCTCGAGTACAGGATGGTATTGAAGACCTCCCAGAAGTCCAAAACAGTTCTCCGAATTAGTCCAGAGAAACAGAATGGCTCCTGTCTCTAGGTCAGTCTAGACATTAGGATGGACGCACCATACACAGGAGGTCAGTCTAGACATTAGGACGGATGCACCACACACAATAGGTCAGTCTAGACATTAGGATGGATGCACTAGACGCAGTAGGTCAGTCTAGACATTAGGATGGATGCACCACACACAGTAGGTCAGTCTAGACATTAGGACAGAAGCACCACACACAATAGGTCAGTCTAACATCAGGATGGATGCACCATACACAGTCTAGACATTAGGACGGATGCACTACACATAGTAGGTCAGTCTAGATATTAGGTAGGATGCACCACACACAATAGGTCAGTCTAGACATCAGGATGGATGCACCATACACAGGAGATCAGTCTAGACATTAGGACGGATGCACTACACACAGTAGGTCAGTCTAGATATTAGGTAGGATGCACCACACTCAGTAGGCTCTCCCAGTTGCTCCATGCATTACTACACAACAGCCTAACCCATTTCAGGAAGATAGAATCCACCATCTAGGAAGGGCAAAGAAGTATAAAGCATACTAAATGGGTTTTAAGTTGGTAGGTAGGGCTTATTCACAGTAACAAACTCCTATGTCTTGTGAACAGACATGAGCCAACTGTGAGTTTGCCAGAAATTTCCTCTTCATATAAAACACTTGAAGTACCAGCCAAAGGGACACCATGTTCTTTATGCCAAAAAACAAAACAAACAGACAAACAAAAAACCCACTGAATTTCAGAAAATATCAATCAAAAAGGGAAACAAGGCTTTGCATGCACAACATAAAAATCAGATCCATCTACTGTGGTCTCAAAACTAGGACGCACAGGAGGGACTTGGGTCAGCTTCAGGGAGCTCCGAGACCTAGCAATGCAGCCCTACCTGACGTTCCAATCATCTACAGTGAGCCCATAAATCAACACTGCTATCAACCAATAAAAGGTACAGATACACACACACACATAGACACGTATGTGCCAACATAGAGATGTATACACAGAGAGGCAGACACGGGCACAAGAGACATAGGTTCACAGATACATTCAGGTGTGTTAAACAAGACACAGAGATGCATGTGCACAAATGCCCAGACACATATAACATGTGGCCCATACATGAGTTATCGGGAGACCAGTCCTGAATCAAGGAAGGGGCCCTGGCACCTCACCTGCTGTGCGCCTGGCAGGTCAGTGGCCGGGTCTTTCCCGGTCCCTGTGTGTCTGGCTTGCATTCTGACTCTCAAGCTGTCTTCCGCAGACTGAAGCTCCTCATCGTGTTTCTGTTTCAGTTTTTCCAACTCACGTGTCAAAAGCTCTTTGTGAGAGGAGTCCTTTTTCTGTAGCTGCTCCTCGAGCTCTGCTCGCAAAAGCTCCAAAGCCTTTCTGTGCTCATCCCGAATAGTCTGAACGTCGGCCAAGTAACAGGACTCCAACGCATCCAAATTGGACAAATGTCTCATCTCTAAAGCGCTGATTTCAGCATTGTGTTTTACCTGCAGCTCAGCCACATGCGTCTCAAGAAGTACCTGCTGCCTGCTCTCCAGGGAAGCAAGCTGTTCGGCGAGCTCAGAGTGGTGTTTGGTCTCGAGCTCCATCCTCAGGGCCTGAAGTTGCTGCTGGTGTCCCTGCTGCAGGAGCTGGAGTTCATGGGTGTGCTTCTCCTGGGCATCCCGAAAGAAAGCATCTTGTTCCTTGGCAAACTTCTCCATAATCTCTTTACGCTCTTCCAAAAACCTGAGGCAACACTCAAGGAGAACACAAACAATAGGGCATATGGGCACACTTCAAGGAAGCATGTGACTTAGAAGGAAATGTTCACTTTTAAAACAATATGCTTAAAGCTGAAAAGACCCACAAAACACTCATCTCAATGAAGGACATCCGCATAAGACCTCATAAGTGAGGCTTAAGATTCTGTTACTGCGGGGCTGGAGAGGTGGCTCAGAGGTTAAGAGCACTGGCTGCTCTTCCAGAGGTCCTGAGTTCAATTCCCAGCAACCACATGGTGGCTCACAACCATCTGTACTGAGATCTGGCGCCCTCCTCTGACGTGTGGGCATACATGGAGGCAGAATGTTGTATATATAATAAATAAATAAATCTTAAAAAAAAAAAAAAGATTCTGTTACTGCATGCCAGGTACAGTGGCAATGCCTTTAATCCTGGAACTTGGGAAGCAGAGGTAGGCAGATCTCAGTACGTTGGAAACCAGACTGGTCTAAATTGTAAGTTCTAGGAAAGCCAAGACTACAGAGAGACCCTGTCTCAAAAAAACAACCAAATAAAAAGATTTTGTCACTCAGAGATTAGAGAGATGGCTGAAGAGTTAAGGGCACTGGCTGCTCTTCCAGGACATGGGTTCAATTCCCTGCACCCACGTGGCAACTCAAAAACACCTGTAACTCTGGTGATTTGATGCTCTCTTCTGGCCTCCAGAGGTAACAGGTAGGCACGTAGTACACAGACATACAGACAGAGAGAACACTACCCACAAACAGAAAATAGATTTTAAAAATTTAAATACATGAAAACATTAAAAAGAATAAAAACTAAAATTCAGTTTATTATTTTAAAAAAATCTGTTACTGAAATTTTAAAACATGAAAACAAAGAATAAAAGCATAAATGGGCACAGTACATATAACCACAGCATGCAGAAGACAAGGGTGGAAGGATTAGGAGTTAGGGGCCAGCCAGGGCTACACTGAGAGTATGCAGTCAACAAAGCCTATACAACAAGGCTATGCCTCAAAACAAAAGCTAGATATGGTAGGATGTACTTATAATCCAGCATTTAAGAGGCTGAGGCTAGAGGACTGTAGTGTACCTTTAAGACAGCTTGGGCGCCAAAAGGAGACCTCCTTCTCAAAACCAAACAAGCAAACAAGGATGAAGACACCCAGGGTGCACGCACACTCATGTCCCTGCAAGGTACCCAAGCTCCAGAGGATGGACATGACTATGCTACTCCCAGCAGACCTACCGTGGAATACAAGCCTTCTCTTCTGGGTTGGTAAAAATGCGATATATCACACCTTGTTCCACTTCCTTCCAGGTTCCTAACCAAGCCCCCGCTACATCCTCCTAGGTCCCTGCCAGCACACTGGGCAGGAGGCTCCACACCAAACCCACCACTGCACAACACTACCCACCTGTTCTGGGCCATCATCAGCTGGAGGGCACAGTCTTCCTTCTCACGGAGGAGCGTGGCATGCTCCTCATCCGGGGCCACAAGGGGCTCCTGGCCACACTGGCTACAGGGCAGAGCTTCATCTCTAGTGAGTTCTTGTTCCAGCTCCCGCAGGCGGCCCTGCTGCTCCATCAGAGATCTCTCCAGGTCCAAGATCTGGGCCGCCTGCTGGTCCTGCAGGTGCCTCATGCCAGACTCCCGAAGCTCAAACCTGCTTATTATGGACTGTTTCTCACACTCGGCCTTTTCTCTTAGCTCGAGAAACATGGAGGTTAATCTCTCTTCGGCTTCTCTCTTTAGGGTCTCGTGTGAACGCTCCCATTCTGCTTCCTTTCTTTGGAATTCTTGTTTCAACAGCTGAATCTTCTCCTCAGCTTTATTTAGTTTTACCTGATGGTCTTCGACTAGGCTACGTTTGACCTATAAGATGAGAAGGTTTTATATAAGAGGAAAGAAACTACAGGAAAAGATTGTTGGATGCGATGACCCCAGTGTGTCCCTGAACATGGAAATTTCTACAGTTTATTTCAAAATACAGCAGTGGGAATCCATCTTATTTTGATGGGAATGAAAATGCCCTAAAATAGACAAAAGTAAAACTTTTACACCTGGAGGCCGGGCGATGGTGGCGCACGTCTTTAATCCCAGCACTCGGGAGGCAGAGGCAGGCGGATCTCTGTGAGTTTGAGACCAGCCTGGTCTACAGAGCTAGTTCCAGGACAGGCTCCAAAGCCGCAGAGAAATCCTGTCTCGGAAAAAAAAAAAAAAAAACCTTTTACACCTGGAAACTTTTACGCCACAAAACCCAACACCTGAAGCCATGCACACAAGTACATGGGCACGCATTCCCATGCACCTGCAGCAAAGACAAATCTGTAGATCTTTTGCAAGGGGGACCACATCCAATACAGCAAGAGGAGAAACCCAAGAGAGAAAAGTTTAAGTCACCTAATCTATAACAAACAAAATAATTCTAAAGGGCACTTGAAGAGGAAAATAAAGCTAAGGCTAGGCAGATACCTTAAATTCTAAGAAAGAAAAGAGTAGGGAATAAATTCTACTATCAATAAGAATCAAATCAGTGTCAAAAAAGGAATGTGAGTGTGACCTGTCCATCAAGCTAAAGACTAAGTTCCTTTCTTCTGGTGACGAGGAAACAAATCTAATCAGGCCAAATCTTCCTGAGCAGAGCACCAGACACAGCCCAATCCCAGGCTGACTCCAATTAATGCGGACTAGAACGGGCTCTGAGAGCAGGCAGGCTAAAGCTACAAGAACTGAACAAAACATTCATCCCAAAACAGAGATGGCACGTGGACTCCGAACCCATCAAGATAACTGCCTGGGGAAACGCAATTTCAAAGCCCTGCAGAATCCAATCTCACAACACATCGCCTACAATATCCAGATGTAACACAAAGCTGGAGGATATAAAACAAGCAAACAAAACAGGAAAATGGGACAGACCCACGCTAAAGAGATACTACAATCAATTTGGAACAGTTCCAAGCTGGCAGAGATAACAGAATCTTCAGAACAGGGTTCAAGCCAATAACTGAAATCCTGACCAAAACAACACAACTTGTCAAAGACGTTTCACTGCAGCAGGAGAGTAAGGATAAAGATGGAAAAAGGGCTTTAAATAAAAGAAAACTTGTACAAAGGACCCAAACAGCAGGATGTCGTAAAGGAAATTCTAAAAATAGGGAGAAACGATGCACACATGGCCTCAGACCTCAGGAGGGAGTGAAGGGCACCAGACATGCTAACAAAGTCCAAGACAATTAGTTCCCATAATAGCTTTCAGTTTTCTTAATTTACTTTTTGGGTTCTGTTGTTGTTCTGTTTTTACTTTTACTGTGAGATGAAGATCTCATAAGCCAGGCTGGCCTCAAACTCACTACATAGCGGATGATGGTTTTGAACTCCTGCTCACAGGCCTCCCTCGTCTCTGGAGCACTGGATAATGGGGTTAAAGGTATACACTACCATCCGTGGCTCCCTTAATTTCTTCAAATCCCTGACTTTTCAGAGCAAATCTTTTAACTCTGTTCTTGTTGAGGTAACAACATACATGGATGTTAACACTTAAAAACCTGCGGCATAAAAGATTAGAAAAAAGGGGCAGAGGAACATATAGAAAATTAACAACAAAGTGGCAGGCCTAAATCTAACGTCAGTAACTGCATTAAATGTTCGTAGACTCCGCACTATAATTTGAAGGCAGAGATTACCAAAATAAGTTAATATTATACAACACACTCTACATGAAATATATTTTATACTCATTAACCTAAATAAAAAATATATAAAACAAAAAGTTAAGAAAAAGCACAATGCTAATAAACAGAGTGGCACACGCCTATAATCCTAGCATTCCATAATTCAGCAAGACTGTTATGTCAAAAACATTTTTTACATGAACATCAAGGATGGCATAACTATAGTAATAAAAAGAGAAAACTGATTTTAAGGCAAAGAGTATAAGGAGGTATTTCATTAATAATAAAAAGGTAAATCTTCCAGGAAGATATAATCATAAACATGTAAATGTATAAAAGAACTTCAAAATGTTTAAAGCAAAAATTAAACAAAATTACTATAGGAGAATTCCACATTCCTTTCTTCTTACTATTTTTGTTGTTTGCTTGTTTTGTTGGGGTTTTGTTGTTGTTGTTGTTTTGTTTTGTTTTATTCGAGACAGGGTTTCTCTGTAGCTTTGGAGCCTGTCCCGGAACTAGCTCTTGTAGACCAGGCTGGCCTCGAACTCACAGCGATCTGCTTGCCTCTGCCTCCCGAGTGCTGGGATTAAAGGTGTGCGCCACCACCACCTGGCTGCTCCTTTAGTTTTTTGAGAAAGGGTTTCTGTGTGTAACCCTGACTATCATGGAATTCTGTATGTAGACCAGGCTGGCCTCAAAGTCAAAGATCTGCCTGTCCCTGCCTTTGAAGTACTGGGATTAAAGCCATGTACCACCAAGCCTGGCCACATTCCTTTCTTGAATTGATTCTCCAGATAAAAATGTGGCCTGGGAAACAAACATCTATTGTTTAGGAAACTCTGTCGGGAAAGATCACAGGCCACATGAATGTCTGCTGACTTGGGCAAGGCGGTTCACACAACTTTCCACAAGGCTCTATCTATTACTAGCTTATCCAAGTCTTTACCAGGTCCTTAATTTTAAAGGCAATTTGGTAATCAAACTTGTAGGCAAAAAGAGACTTCTCTAAAGTTCTTTTCTGATGGAGAATGAAAATCTATGAAGTCATTCACAAAGAAGAACAAAGGCATGAAGAGGGCAGAGGCGTGAAAGACGTGTTCAGACATGGTTAAAAGCACGATGGAGCGATGGAGAGACCATGGCTAACATACAGGCAGCGAAAGACAAATATCAGTTTCCACTCCTCGAGCGGTGCTGGCTGTGTAATGAACTGTGAAGAGCTGACATTTTCCATTCTGCCCATGCCCACAATGGTATGGCCGTGACTTTCTCAAGCTGACAAATACCTAGGAAGAAGCTCGGTATCTGAATTTTCCACAGGAGTTGAACAATCACCATGAAGGCTGTGAAGAATCTGGAATACTTTGAAGACAGTGGCATGCGGATCAGAAGATTGCCAGTGCCCTTCCTGGGAGTCCCTGAGGATGCCTGGCCATTTCCTTAAGGAGCGAAACCGGCTCTGGTCTTGGGTACCAGACCTTAAAGAAGTTTTCTGGAAAACCCACTTGCATTTCTTTCCTCAAGAACCTGGTGCACACACTCCGACAGCAATGCCATGCATAGTTCAGGGTGTCCTCAGGACCTCCTGGTGTGCACAGACCACACGCCTTCCACAAGAACACAGAGCCTTGCTGAGGGTCACTACTCACATTCTCCAGGTCCTCCTTCAGGTGGGTCTCGTGCTGAAGCTTCTCCTGTAAATTTCTGTTCTCTATTTTTAAGAGTTCAATTTCTTCCTTGAGCTCAGTCTGAAGAAGAGAAAGTTTAACCTTCTGTTCAGCTTCCAAACTCAGGATTCTGGCAGCCACCTGAGCATCCACCTCCAAAGCCATGTCCTGTTCATACTGGAGACGTCCTTGTGTGAGCTCTTGAGGAACAAGGGAGAGGGAAGACGATCACAGACCCTGTCTCCACAGGCAGCACCAAGAGAATGGCAGCAGCCTGCATACTATTCAGCTAACAGGACACCACGCTTCGAACACCCCAATGCTGACTCAGGGCAGCAGAGAAACCAGGTCTTCAGTGTCCTCTCTGCAGGTACATCCCTGGCCTACATTCCCTGGTATCTCCACGGCATACACCTAGGCAGCTCAAGGTATTCCTTAAGGTCAGGCATGCTGTGCGACCTGCTGCCGGTCACCCAGAGTGAACCCTGTGCCCAGCATCAGACCCACAGAGACTGGCATTGGGCTGAGCCTGAACTGAGGCACACCTAGGGAGTGAGTGTGCGAGCTGAGCACACGGCCTCCTCTAAACCAGACCTGGGTCTTCTTCTCTGGAGATGGAAACTAAGGCACAAGCCCCGCGTTTAGAGTAAGGACAAGTTACGCTTCAGGGACTGCATGGACATGAGCAGCACAAATGACAGAACATGTCCCTGGTACAGCAAGGACGAGAGCCATAAGGGACAGGAGCATGTTGGCCCCTGGCTCTCAAGCGGGACACCTCTCTCCCTGCCCTGTCCAACGCTGAATGGAACTCCAGAGCAACACAGGCTTTCACATCGCAGAAAGCGATGGCCAAAACTGATCCCATCGCTGCTTGAGGCGGGCCCTCAACTTGGCTTCCTCATTTCCTCTGCAAGCGGACCACTGTACTCAGGAGGGCTCAACAGCAATGGACACACTCTGTCACCGTGTTTCACAGCAGCTGACTTCTGCTGTCCACCTCTAGAGTCACTGGGACTGACCACTATCCAGACCCGTGGACCATGCCCCTAAGATAACCAGAGTCTTTCTATGCTACTCCCTCCAGGCCACCTGACGTGAGCTCCTTCCCTCACGCTCCCTGGGTGACCCGCAGTCTTGGTCTGACCAGCTGAGCCACTATGCTAGGCCTGAAGAAGCAGAGCGGAGTCTAATATCAGACCCCTAGGTGAGCAGTCACCTCTGGTGCTGCACGCTGTTCCTGCAAGTCTCGTCTCAAAAGTGACGTCAGTTCCTAAGACCAGAGTGTGGCTCCATCAGACCCAACCCTGGTCTGGAGAAAACCATCTCTATAGACAGAGCAAGCCAACAGCAGGCAGGTATCCTGCACTAAGGCCAGCACTCCCCAAATCAGCCCCATCTATCTGCAAGGGATAGATCCTTACAGCAGGGGTCTGCATTGCACTGTGGCAGGCTCATGGTCTTCGTGTGGACATCACTAATGAGAGCCGAAGCAGCCATGTGTCCAGGTGCTCCATGGGCAGAAAACACGAGGAAAGCGGCAGCCTTCTCCCGAGACACGCCCCAAGAACTGGCACCGGCAGGAAAATAAGGAGCCTGGATGGACAGATGGGACACACCTTGGCTGTGCTGGTCTGAGAATCCAAGTGTGAGTCTCTCCTGTTCGGCTTGCTCGGGCCTCAGGTGGTGGCTGTGTGACTTGTCCTCCTTGAGTTGGAAATCGAGGGAAGAATTCAACACACCTGCTTCGTGCCTGGGGTCTTCTTCCAGTCCTACGTGTAAACTTGTCGAGTTCTCCTAAAGGACCACACAGGACAGGTGAGTCAGTGAGCCCCATCACCTACTACTCTTGGGACATTTCCTGCTGTGCTCGGAGCAAAATATAAACCCAGCTAGATTCATACACCACACAACTGACCCTGGTACAGACACGGCACAGTACTTCTTCCCGTCCACCAGTGTCCTGGCAGGATCCCAGGACCCACAGAAGCAGTGGCTACAGCCTGAGAACAGCATGCACAAGAGGCCATGGCAGCAATAGAAGCCATCCTACCCATGGGCATTCATTCCATCCCAGTGGTGTCTATAGTATCTAACGGGATTCCTCTACTGTCCACCATTGGCATCTCTCCTCCTTAGAGTTCAGCTGTCTCCCCACCCCCAGCATCCTTTATCCAGTCTCATATCTTAAGCCCAGGCCTCTCCGAAACTCTGCACTTCTGTGATCTGACACCCAGTAATGACAATGACAATGCCTAGCATTCAGAGTTTGCAAACTTGATTAAAATAAAGGCTCTTTGCTTTTATATACGGGACTCTGTCTCTTTTGCTGGCTTTTGGTGGGACCCACAGATTTGGACATAACACAATCACTTTTGACATCAGGTCCTATTCCTGTGACAATGCCTAGCATTCAGAGCGCTGGCCCAAGTCTGTTCCAGGTAGCATGGAGGCCGTTCTGGCAGTCATTTCACGCCCTGATCAGAGCTCTCCTAAAGGCCTCTCTCTCTCTCTCTCTCTCTCTCTCTCTCTCTCTCTCTCTCTCTCTCTCTCTCTCTCTCTCTCTCTCTCTCTCTCACATCCTGAGATTAGCCTGTCCATAAATTCAGCTCACCACTTCAATTGTGGAGGCCAGCCAGGAAAGCTAAGTCTGGGCTGGTCATCCAAAGGAAGTTCTTCCAACCATTATCACCTGGGACTCAGGCCATCGATAAATTTAAATGGAGTCTGGAGTCTCAAGAGCTTACCCTGAGACAATGCCTGGCAGGCATTATCAGACCCCCACCCAAGAGCAGACCGTTCAAAGGAAATTCCTGGCATTCCAAGCACTGTAGAAGGATCACCTGCCAGCACTTCACCAGGACACACCTAGACAGATGTCAGCCAACCAGGGGTCCTTACCTCAGAGACCCCTCACCCCCACCCACCTTTACTACTATAAAAACCCAATTCTAATTGAGTTCAGGGCTCTCAGGATATTCCAATATGTTGGACATGCGGAAAGACTGAGTTTGCAAACTTGATTAAAATAAAGGCTCTTTGCTTTTATATACGGGACTCTGTCTCTTTTGCTGGCTTTTGGTGGGACCCACAGATTTGGACATAACACAATCACTTTTGACATCAGGTCCTATTTCTGTGTCAGCCTCAGTCTCAAATCAGTGTCGCCCTGAAGCCGATCTCCACGTCTCAGGAGAACCTGCTCTGGCCTGGGGTCTCTGCTGACTGCCCCCAGGGGGGGGGGGGGCTGTGACTGACACTTCTCTGCTTCAGACCTACCATGAGCCACCTGGAGGTAGGATAGGCCTCCACACTTCCTCATTCCAACTTCTATGGCATCCTCTCTGCCTCTGAACATCCCTCTCAGAGCCCGATTCTGGACTTGTTCAGATGTGGGGCAAGGATACAATCCCTACAAAAAGGAAGAGGCAACCCAAGTGGATCTCTAGTTGCCGCCAAGTCCCTAGCCCTACGAACAGGCTCCGCCTTTGCAGGTTCAGAGCACTCTCTTCAACAAAGAATGGATGGATCCGCATGTACGGAAAATGTAGCCACTGAACCCATTTCCTCAAAACTACCTTTCAAAACAAGACTTATATTCTTATTGCTAAAGAAATAAGGACCGTGAAACTGCTGAGACAGGTTTGGCCCTGTGACAACAAGATGTGAGACAGTGCTGTCTCACTGAGGGTGAACACGGGATAAGCCATGGGAGTCACAAGGGTGGAGTCACCGAGGATCCCTTGGCCCACTCCAAAGAAAGAGATGGTCGGGCCCAACAAGCAAAAGCATGAAAGCAAACACTTCCATCAGGGCACAAAGGCCAACAGTGCTGGGAATTATTCAACTAGAGAAAAGAGCAAAGACAACAGAAGCAAAACGGGCAAAGAGAAGGAATAAAGAAAGCCACAGCGAATGGAATAATAGGTGAAAAGCAAGTGAAAAGACATCAGCTTCAGGAAGAACGAAAGACACGAACTCACAAGAGACGGAGCATGCACACTTTGGTGATGTCTACTCCGCATCCTCTCTGCCTCTGAACATCCCTCTCAGAGCCCGATTCTGGACTAGGAGGAGGGACACAGCCTCAGACAGGCCAGGACACACACACAAGAGAGAGGTTAAAGGCGTTCTGAAGACAGAAAATCAAGTTCCCCTGAGTGAGGAGTCAACAAAGACAGAACAGATTTTATGAGGCAGAAGACAGCCAACTTCTAATGTAAAGACAAATGACGCTCAACGTCCTCTCAGAGTAAAACACACAGCCTGTCACCTGCGGCTGCTCAAGCCGAAGACCAAGTGGATCGGGTTGCTCCTTTCTTTCTGGGCCAAATGTCTCCTCTGGGAATATACAGGATGAACTAGAGAGAGAAGACACGTAGAAAAGCTTTAGTGTGCTGGGCATGGTGGCATATACCTTGAATTCCAGCACTCAGGAGGCAGAGGCAGGCAAGTCTCTGTGAGTGCAAGGCCAGCCTGGTCTACACAGTGAACTCCAGGACAGCCAGGGCTACACAGTGAGACCCTTTCTCAAAACCAAAACCAACAAAAATAAATAAAATAGCAAAGCTTTGAGGGCTAGAGAGAGGGCTCGGTGGTTAAAAGCACTGGTTGCTCTTGCAAAGAGCCTGAGTTCAATTCCCAGCACCCACATGGTGGCTCAAAGGGGTCTGTAGCTCCAGTTCTGGGGGAGCCAACACGTTCTTCTGACTTCCATGAGCACGTGGTACACATACATATATGCAGACAAAACATTCATACACATAAAATAAAAAAACATTAAAAAGGTTAAATAAAATAAGAGCTTTAGTGCACCCGTTTCTTGCCCACTCTGTTCCTGGGCCCAACCACACAGAGGTAAGAATTGGTGTTAAGGCCCAGATGATGCTAGGCCTATATGCTGTTTAGCCAGTACTATATAACACAGGGGCGTGGGACTGGATCACAGGGCCACACGCTGGTTCTCCTGGGCTTGACGTGGTGGTACACACTTTTAATTCCAATATTAGGGAAACAGAGGCAGGTGGACTCTGAGTTCCACGCCAGTCAAGGCAATAAAAACAAAAACAAAATAAAATAAAAACAACAAAAAGCCCAGCTTTACTGTACTCCATTAGTATGAGATCACAAACAGAAGAAGAGCAAACGTAGCCCAAGACACCCCACATCTCGGAAGGCTACTCAATGGGAACAATGTCTCCATTACCTGATCTCCCCACACTCCAGAGAATCCTCCCTGGTCTCCTGCAGCCGTTGCTGGAACAAGGTCAGGTCTTCTTGGTATGTCTTCTCAGCATCCCTCAACTTCTTCTCAAAATAGACGCGCAGGTGCTCCAGCTCAGACTCGTGCTGGGCTCTCTCCTGCTGCTGCTGCTGAGCGAAGTCTGCTCGCAGGTGCTCCAGCTCCTCCAGGTGAGCATCTCGGGCCAGCGGCGATTCCCATAACCCTTCGGCAGGAAGAAGCAAATAATCACGCAGGAAAGCCAAGTCCCTGAGCAGACTCTGAGAAGGGCCTACCTCTCCTGACTGTGAGTAGGTAAGAGCCTCCTGCCTTGGGGTTACTCAGCATCTCAGCAACCCCTTAGAAAGCTGAGCACCTGGGAAGCAGGGCAACTGGTTATGGCAAGAAACATGGTCCTGGCAACAGAGAACTGTATCCTGTCATCATCTCAGTGACTCTAGAAACAGGTTTGGAGCAAGGCGCAGCTGCTGACCCCTGGACGTGAGCTGAGGGAGTTCCTGAGCAGAGAACACAGACACAGCACCCCAAACTTTCTTTGAGCTTATATTTGAGGCTATCAAAGTGATCATTTTCTGCATAGCAACACAGAACACGTGTAAGCTTGCAACCCAGCGAATGCTACCGACTGGTGTTGTGGAATATTATGGAATCTTTAACTATGTAAAGGTGTGTTACATTTGTTTATGCTGCATTTTCTTAACTATATAAAGGTGTGTTGCTTTTGTTTATGCTGCATATGTTTAACTATGTAAAGATGTGTTGTTGTTTCACCTTGATTGCCTAAGGTATCTGATTGGTCTAATAAAGAGTTGACTGTCCAATAGCTGGGCAGTAGCAGGATAGGTGGGGCTGGAGGGCAGAGAAAATAAGTAGGAGGATTCTAGGCTTGGGAGAAGAAAACAGGAGAGAAAGAGAGATGGATTCCTAAAGGCCAGTCAGGCAGCTGCCAGCCAGCAGACATGGAGTAGGAATTACAAAAAGAGAGGTAAAAAGCCTGGAGGCTAAACAGAGATGAAGAGAAACAGGCTAAGTTAAAAGAGCTAGCAAGAAACAAGAATAAGACAAGGCTGAGCATTCATAAATAATAATTCTCCTTGTCATGATTTGGGAGCTGGTTGGTGGCCTGAAAGAAAGTCTGCTACAAACTAAGGCAACCACTAACAAACAATGTAGATTGACTAGTTACATCCCCAAAGGTTTTATATCAAAGTTTCCTGAAGATGAAGTTCCACGGAGGACCACACTAGTCCTAGTCAGCCTACCTCTTCTCTAGTCTCTACTAACAGGACCCTGCTGTTGCATCACCCAATAGCACTGCCAGGTACGGCTGACACATGAAGGACACTGTACACCAGAAGAACCTGTACCGTTGGAGGCACAGTCATGTGATCACCACTCAGCTGATACACTGAGGGACGAAAAGAAAAACTGAAACCTCGCTAATGTACAAATTTCCTTTCCTTTTTTAAGGATTTATCTTTACTTTAAGTCTATTAGTGTTTGTCTGCTCATATGTATGGGCAAGCAGTGCCCATAAAGGCCAGAAGAGGGCATCAGATTCCCCAGAACTGGAGTTATACATGGCTGTGAACCTGACATGCTGGGTACCAAGTGTGTGTCATCTGCAAGAGCAGCAAATACATTCTAATGTCAAAATTTTTTATTTGTATACAAAACATATATCATTTTCAAGATGCATAAGCCACGCCTTTAATCCCAGCACATGGGGAGGCCGAGACAGGTGGATCTCCATGAGTTCGAGACCAGCCTGGTCTACAAGGACAAACTCCAAAGTTACAGAGAAACCCTGTCTCGAAAAACCAAAATAAGATATACAAGCAAGTTCACAAGTTTGCATTTCTCCTCTTTCTCTCCCCTTCTCTCTCTCTCTCTCTCTCTCTCTCTCTCTCTCTCTCTCTCTCTCTCTCTCTAAATATGGTTCAATCAGAAATCAATTTCAGGGCTGGGATTTGATCAGTAGTGATACAGCCCTTGCTAAGAATGTACAGGGCCTTAGGTTCTAATACGCCACTTCAAAATGAATGAATGAATGAATAGATAAATAAAAGAATAAATGAAAATCTTCACAGCTTAGCTTTTAAGGACACCCCACAAAATTCCTCACCATTCAGTTCCTCTCTGTTGGTTTTCATAGACTCGAGCTGGGACCACAGGTGTCTGATTTCTTCTTGGGACTGAGCCTTCAGGTCTTCATAGGACGCATGAAGAGTCTCTAACTGAAGAAGAAAAACGTCCCATGAGACCCAAAGTAGACGGACAGGCAGCACGTGTGAGGCTGTGTTACTGTTCCTGTCTCTGAAACTACTGAAAACTTGGAGTGAAAGCATGAGATTCATAGAGAATAAGAGCCCAGACCCTGAGCCTGCAGCTCAAACGGCAGCGCAGGGTTAACTTTAACCAAACAAGGTCAAGGTTAAAGAGCAGCAGCGGTGCACACACTGCTGTCCCAGCTACTAAAGAATCTGAGGCAGAAAGGCTGAGTCCAGCACTTCAGGGCCAGCCTGGCCAACAAAGCAACACTGTTTCAAAAATAAAAATTAAAGTAAGTCTGTTCACAAAGCAGCCTTAACCTGGGCCATGCCCTGGGAACAACATGCCTCCTGCCTACTGACCTGGACTAGGGTTGTGTTTCTATATCACATACCCCATGTGTGTTCACTTCAAGCCATAGGTCCCCACTTAGAGCCGACAGGGTCACTTTGAAACTACTCGTGGAACTCCAAGGCAAGCATTCCAATGGGTTCCACTCCATGTTTACCTAGGGGAGTCTAAGAAAACAGCACGAACCACAATACCTACCATACACAAATAAGGAGGCTCCCCCATTTCACATTAATGAAGTAGGTTCCCTCCAACCTTTTGATTGCAAAGAGTTCACACACCTACACTGCACAAGTAATTCCTAATTGTGGAATTAATCTTCAGATGTCGGAAACAAAAAAAGATGTCACCAGGACCAAGGCCAAAGTGAAGCCCTGGTTCAGGCTGCTATGCACCTCTGTTTCCACACAAGGATCTGCCAATTCACCGATGAAAGAAGAAAACAACGAATGATTGAGACTGCCGTTGACACCGTGGACTCCGGATCCATGACTCAGAACATTACAACGGGATCTGACCAGAAAGCCTCCTTCCTGGGACCTGGCTTTCATAGTCCCTGGAGGTGCCACACAAGCTCCCCAAGTGGGGAAGCAACCAGCAACCTGACGCAGCTGTGACACCTATGAACCTCAACAACGACCAGCCCTGCAAGGTGCTCCTGAGATGCAATAGCGGCACCCACAGTTCAGTGGTAACCAACAGCTCTCCAACCGAATGTAAGAACCTCTCAACAGGAGGGAAATCCTAGAAACCTAGCCAACTACCTGCAGCTAGTGAGGGCATGGATTTGGGAGGAAAACCTACTACTATCACTTGACAAGGCCAGCATAATTCCTAACTGTATTCTAAATACTTATGTGTATATGCATACCTAAGTGTATCTCTCGGCCCCCCTCCCCATTCAAAGAAGCTTCTCCTTGCAGCAGAGACCTCTGAGAAGGCTCTTCGCATATTTCTCTCTGACTTGTAGTATTTCACTAGGAAAAAGGCTTGAATACATAAGCACAAGAAATGGTTTGGGTTATCTTGTTTTTAGAAACTTTTTGCTTATTGACGTATAGCCAGAGAATGTAGCTTTATGTTTCTAGTATTCAGAATTTTTACATCAGGAACCTGTGTAAAGAATAATATATTTCTGAATTCAAGATTGAACATCATTTCATGGGCCTGGCAGATTCTATGCCTTATGCACCTCATGTCTCAACAGATTCAGGACTTCGGTTCAGTAGACATCAAAATATGAAGTGGCCCAACTCCAAACTTTCTAGAATTTCTCTAATAAACCAAAGATTGGGGTAGAAAACTGGCTTAGTATACAAAAGATCAGCTATTCAAGCCCAGGTCCAGATCCACAGCATCCATGTAAAAAGCTGGGCAGACTGTCGGCCTCAGTGCCATCTTCCTCGAAACTCCTGCTGCACGAGCGAACAGGAGCAGGAAGCAAACGCGCAGGCGGAAGCACAAGAGAAGAAAGATGAGGCAGAAGTCCAAGTAAACCAGGGTACTGTGCACCCACGAAGGCTGAAGGAGCAGAAGTAAGGGATGCTGAGGGCTGGGACGCTGGGACGAGATATTGAACTGTGTGCTACTGTCGGTATAAGTCTCAATGAACCTGGGACAGCACCATCTGCTCACAGAGACCACCTGAGAGACTTGACTGCTTTCACTGCAGCCCCTCTGGCCCTCTGGCGTTCTGGACCAACTCTGTTCTCACTTGTGGCCAAGAGTAACTCATGTACAATAACTCATCTTTCTCACTGTCTCAGCTGAAAAACAACAACAACAACAGCAGGTTGGGTGTAACACCAGTACTGTAACACCACTACACCAGCGCTGGAGTAACAGAGACAGGAGGGGTCTAAGTTTGCCAGCCGGGCAGTCTAGCCAATCAGTGAGCTCAAGGGTCAGTGAGAGATCCTGTCTCAGAAGACGGAGTGCAATAGAGGGGACGCCTGACATCAACCTCCGTGTGCACGTGAATAGCCACACACACCCACGCCTGCACCCACAAATGCCCAAACACGCACACCTCATCCCCACATCAATCAAACAAACAAAAAGATGTTATGTTTTGCCTACCTCCAACTCCTTTTCTTTCTCCTTTTCTCTGAACTTGACCTCTAAATCTTGTAAATACTGGCAGTGTTCCGACTGCAGGTCTTCCTGTAATTTCTTGACCGCGGCCTGGTGCTGGGTCTCCAGGTTCTTCAGGGAGACTAGAGAGCAGCACAGAGGAAAGCTAGCTTATGACGAGACGGGGCTCGCTTCTCCAGCAGCACTTCTGAACGGCATTTCATATCAGAGCCACAATTCCCATGCAGAGCACTGTGCCCACCACATTCCATCCTGGGCACCCGGGGGTGTCTGGACAGGGGTATATACCAACGGCAAAAACGGAGAGGCAAAGCTGAGCAGGCTCCACCTGAACATCACCGCAGGAGCCAAATTGTTCCTCCCGTGGAGGGAGGAGAGATGAACACAGGCACAGACAAGAAATACCGTCTCAACTCACAAGAATCACCATGCCACATAACATCTGCAGTAGCAAGAGTGAGCGGCCGCATACTACTGCTTCAGTAATAATTTAGTAATTGAATATGTAAGAGGGATCTATGAAACAGAGGCTGGGCAGTTGGCTAACAGCCACAGCACCTCCCGGGCACTCATGACCGCGGATGTCCTCAGCAGCGTGCACTGGAAAGCAAAGGTGGGAAAGGCAAGTCCACCTGCAATGCTGTTCACTCTGGCCTCATGGCAGACCCCCAGCCCCCCAGACATGCTCACTTTAATCAGGGACTCACCTTCAGCCTCGTGCTTGGCTTGAAAAATCTTCTCCAACTCAGCCCTCTGTTCCGCTAATTCTTTCTGAAACTGGTTTTGCAAGGCCTCCATTTCCGACTGGTGTTTTGCGGACAATTCTTTGCGGAGATTTTCCAAACACAACTCTCTTTCAGATTCCCAGTCTTGCTTCAGAGTCTAATTTAAAAGAAACCGTAGATTGTGGTACAACCAACCTCTGCATGTTAGGTATCTCACAGACTCAAAGGGTCTCGAAACCATCTTCGTACACGGGGTCAATGGCAACCTGGCCAGCACCTAGGGGCATCCGCCACATTCACACTGCTGGCTACGTTCACCTCTCCCCACCGGACTAAGTCCATGAAGACAGGAAGGGTCCAGAACACTATGTAAAAGGGCAGCTGAGAAGCCTCACATTTCAGGAATCAGCACAAACAGCAAAACAAGTCTGCTAAGGCACAGATAAGAGAACTGACTTTCTACCAGCACATTCCAATTCCCTGGGACTGATGCTGTCTGCATCAAGGCGGGGCAGATCAGTGGAATGAGAAGAAAGTAGGATAGTGCACACACCGACTCTATTTCCAGTCCACTACGCACCTCTATCATCTGGACGTTCTTCTCCATTTCTGAACGCAATTTCTCCTTCAGTTCAGCTGCAAGACAAACGGAACAACTGCTCAGACCAGAGTCTCAACCTTTTTCATGATCTCATCACCCAGGAGACATGGGGCTCTAGTATCCACTATCCACTTGTGGGAGTTGCCATTGCACACTGGACAAGACTACAGACGATAGTTAGTTTAAGTAAAAAACGTATTCACATGAAAATGAAGAATATTGAAATTCCCAGGCACTCAGGCTCCCTTAAGAGTACAGCTGAAGGTCAGCGGCAGGGGTCCCATCACCGACACCCCCAAAGCCATGCAAACCTCCAGACAAGAGAAAGGCAGGTGCTTTAGTTCATGTGCCCACTGTGTCAGGGTCAAGGTAAAGGACTGGATATTAAGACATGAGAAACTGTCCTATGGTCCCACAGCTGCCAACTCAAGCAGACAGGTTCCAGCTGTGTCTCAGGAGCTGCTGAGCCTTCCAGGGAGAGCCCGCTGTAAAGGGCAGGGAAGGACAAGACTGAAGAAACTGAGCAGTGGCAGGAAGCATGGGGCAGGACAAGGTGGCAGCAGACAAGTCTAAAGGCGACTGAAGGGCTGGGATCCATCCTTCAAGAGCTATACACCCCAGAATGCCACTAAGTCCTTTCCTTTCCTTTCCTAGGAACGGCAGGCTTGACCAGGGGGCCACAAAGAAGAGGGGTCTCGGCAACTAGAATGAAAAGCATAAAAGACTAAAAAGATCTTATACTGATAATCCAATCAACTATCTAACTAAAGGGAAAAGTCCACTGTGGGCTGGCCAATGGGCAGCAGGCAGCAGACTAAGAATGCATTTGACCAGCATGAGGACCTGTAGCATTACCATACCTAAGATGAACAGCCAGGCCAAACCCAAGCAGTGCCCAGCTAGCAACATAGACCCAGTCAGGTTTCCTTGTGCTTGAAGGGGGCTTGGGTCCGAATACTATAAAGGACTGGCCAACACAGAGGAACCTGGACGGCTCACCTCCCTCCCGAGAGAAAAAACAGGAGCATGAAAAGTAAGACTTATTTGGAAAATTAGCCCACTGCTTCAAGTGTGTGTGTGTGTGTGTGTGTGTGTGTGTGTGTGTGTGTGTGTGTGTGTGTGTTGGGAGGGATCTGAAATTATGATCAAAAAAAAAAAATGAAGACAGTGGGGACACGGGGTCACACCCTCCATCTGCTCAGTACCTGTTTCTTGCATCACCGCTTCCTTCTCACGGGCATGCTGCTCTCGCATCAGCTCCAGCTCACACTGCTGCCTGCTCTGCAGCAGCGCCAGCTCCTGTGCCCGCCGGCCATTGAGCATCTCCCGCAGCTCTGTCAATGCGGTCTCCTTCTCCTTCTGCAGGTTGGCTTGTGTCAGCTCTAGCTGTGCCGTATGCATGTTGTTCAGGCTCAGGCGCAGAGCTTCGAGCTCAAGGCTGTGGGCTGTCTGCAGGCAGAGAAGAACCAGGCCTGATGAGATCCAGGTCAGAAACCGGGCTGGTAAGGGCAACACCCAGCAGAAATTGGAAAAAAAGAAGAGAAAGACAAAGAAGAAAAGGGACGTGTACACAAGAAGGATACCATCCCGTCTCCATGCTGGCGTGTGTCTCCATGCTAAAACGCTATGACTGACAGCGCGTACCAGACATTTATCTCACACGTCACAGGTGTGCCAGACTCCCAGCCCCAGGTGTCCACATGTGACCCTCCATTTGCTTGGGGAATGAACTCAAAGGGACAGTGTGGAAATAGCCAAAGAAGAGAAAGCACACCACAGCCCCTACCTGTCTACTTTGGAATGAGTCTCTCCCACCTGCAATGATCCCCGGAAACTAGGACCCACTGTACCCTGGTAAGAATGGCAGAACACAGGCTATGACCCTGTGAAGGCTGAGAGACATAGGCGGGCCAAGCAGATCACCTGGGGTGGCTGTGGCTGCAGCTGTGGCTGCAGCTGTGGCTGCTGCTGCTGTTGCTGCTGCTGTGCCTGCAGACCAGTCTCATCCAGTTCACAGTCTTGTCGTTCCTACAGAAGCAAAGGAAAGAATTCACATGAGAAAAGAGTGTCTAAAAAAGGATTAATACACTAGAGAACTGAAAAACCATGTCCTGGGTGGGGGGAGGGTGAGGTATGTAAATAGTCACAGCAGCATTACACACGGCAGACACAGTATGGGATGAATGAACACATCAGCAAAATAGCACACAGGTGTCTTTGGTATCCTCAGGAATGGGCACATAGTATAGTATATCCTACAAAAGGCAAATCATTCCCAGGTGTCTCTCTAGGTTACTTGTGACACCTAACAGTATCAATGCTAGGTAAACAGAAAAAAATGTTTGCATACCCAACACAAATGCAATTTCCCCCAAATATTTCAGTCTGCATTTGGCTGGCTCTGTGGATGTGGAATGCTGACTCCAGTACAATGAAATATTACAGAGCTAAAAAGGAAAAACTGTAACACACACTACAGTACAGGCAAACTGAAACACGTCGCGACTGAAAGACAGGATCTGGAGTTCAAGGCCACCCTGGGCTACGTGGTTTGGACCAGGATAGGATATATAGCAGGACTCAATCTTCAGATTAAAAAGAGTGAAGGATAGTGGCACACGTGTAATTTTAGCACTGGAGCTGAGGCAGGAGAGTTGCAAACTCTCTAAAGCTAGCCTTGATAACAGCAAAACCCTGACTCTATCAAAATAAAAGAGGACCTAGGAGGGCCAGCACCACGGTGCAGTGGGTAAGAGTGTGTATCCCTGGAACCTATGAAAAAGCTAGATGCGGCAGCAACTCGCATCTGTAGTCCCAACAGAGCTGTGCAAGACAGGAGGCAGAGAAGCTGCTGGGAGCTCACGGACGTAGTAGAGCAGCAGAAACGAGAGCAACATCGTCCCATGAAGGTGGAAAGACAGAACTCACCCCTGAAAGGTTCTCCTCTGGCCTTCACACTCTGAGCCATGGCACATACTTGTAGCCCTTAACCCTCAGAACTCACCAAAAGATGTTTTGTTTTGTTTTTTTGAGACAGGATTTCTCACAGAGATTCGCTTGCCTCTGCCTCCAGAGTGCTGGGATTAAAGGTGTATGCCACCACCACCACCCCACCAAAGACAATTTTTTAAATTAATTAATTATTTTATTTTATTTTTGGTTTCTGGTTTTTGAAGACAAGCTTTCTCTGTAGCTTTGGAGTCTGTCCTAGAACTTCCTCTGTAGACCAGGCTGGCCTCAAACTCACAGAGATTCGTCTGCCTTTGCCTCCCGAGTGAAATTTTTTTTTTAAATGGTACTGAGGAAAAGAATTTCTGAGGAAAAGAATTACCTCAGAAAGGAATTAAAAAAAGAAGAAACAAGCTAACTGGAAAGCAACTAGAAATTTAACAATCTGAATGAGAAGTCTAGTAAAGAAGAGAGATCCAGGCTGGGGTAGGAGCTAGAATCCTGGGACCTCTACAAGAACATCAAGTACTCCAAACCACTGAGCCATTTCTCCAGGCCTGATTTAAACATTTTAAAAACCAGAAAATGTTAGCTGTACATTATAAGCTTCTCCTCAAAGAACCTGAGCGGGGACATACAAAACAGTACCGCAGATAGTAAGCAGGGGCTAGTCAACACAGCTTCTCGTTTCTCTACCACTGAGAGAGGCCAGGGGAAAATTACAGTGAATGGCAGCTAATAGCCAACGCAGGCCCACAGAGCACACCATGCAGAGACAGTAACGGGCACAAGCAGAAACCCCTGGAGAGCTCCAGCTTGCCAAAGCACAAGGGTGCACGAAAGTAAGGTCTTAGAGCTTTCAAAATAAAACAAAATTGCAAATCTGTAGGTAGATCCCACATCTGATATGCTGGCCACAACCAAAACGTATTGTTGCTGCCTGTGTAATTTGTCCTTTAAATTCTTTTCTGGTTAAGAGAAATTGGAGTTTACCAGCCTGAGTGGCACACTGGCTTACCATGTGCACAGGAGCTTCGAGGAGAGTTCCACTGAGGAGCAGTCTGGATGCCTGGGAGGGGAGGAGTCATGGCGTGGGCTCCCTACAAATCACACACCTAAGTGGCCAGAGGGCAGCTCCTTCCGCCACACACCATTTCTGCTACATGTCCTCCCTTTCCCCTAACCCTACCTTCAGGAAGGTAGTAAAGTAGAGAGGGGGCACGTGTTGCATCCAAAAATGGGCAAAGGAATGTCACATACAGGGAACTCACAGAACCACACCACACACACGCAAACTGCTGTCAACCGTAAAGGTCCCTCAGCACCAAACTGACATCTGTCTTTGAACAACTGTCCAAACTCTTCAAAATCATATTAGAGACGAGGCACTGGCTGTTAAAGTCATTGCCGCGTAAAGCCATTGCCACACAAGCCAAGCAACTTACGTTCAATTCTCAAAACTCACATGAAGTTGCAAGGAGAGGCCCCTACTCTACAAAGTCTTCCTTGGGCACACTGCGGCATGAGTGCCCAGACACACGCAATAATAAATAAAACAAACTTTAAAGACAAGTCATTTATTTACGCAAAACCTGTTTGCTCCCCTATTATGAACTAAAATGTCTCTTTCCCCATTTTTGAAAGGCAGAGAACAGAAGGCCACTTTTAGTAAATTACTACAACAATAACTAAAGATAGGCAACACGTTAACACAATGATGAGTAAACCTACCTGGGCTGCAAACGCCCCTCGGGTCCCCTCCAGGGTGCTGCTGCATGACTTGCTTTCAAAACCAGCCCCTTCCTGGGGGAGCTCGCTGTTTTGAGTGGCTACCGAACCCTCCTCCTGGACAGGCGCATTGACAGCCGAACCCTTCCTCTTCGCCGTCTTTTTCTTCGAATTCGGACCGTCACCTTTTGCTTTTCTCTGTCGGAAGCTAGCAAGCTGCGAAAAAATTTAGAGAAGTAGTAGAAACAGAGGTAAACGAGAAAAAAGTAACAAAACCACAGAGTCAACACGCTTGTGGGGAGCATGAGGTTTGAGCTAGCTCAGGCCACTCAGCCACGCGAGGCCAAGAGACCACTTTTCCACCAAACACTGCCTTCATTGACATCTATGACCTTGGCATTAAGCTCAAAAATTATGCCAAGTCTACTAATGACTATTAATTATGCCTAGATGCAGACAAAAGAAAACATGGCTGGTTAGAAGAATAGCTATTCTAATACTTGGCAGTTTTGAAAAATTAAAAATGTATCTATTTAACACACTGAGAGCTTAATTAAGGCACATGTAAGCCTTAAAACTATTATATAAAGCTAGATCCTTCCCTTCTTGCCCCCATTCTTCCCTAATCGAAGTAATGCATCGCCCAGCCAAAACTTCCTTGCCATAGATTCTGAGACAAGGTACAGAAATAGCAAAAACTTAATCAAGCCAGGTCACCCCAGCATCTTCCTTTATGGAATCAGATGTTCTATTTTTCATGACACGGCTCAGCAAAGCACTAGGGACCATCGCGGAATGCTGCCTGCCAGTCAGAGGCACAGCCGGGCTTCTCTCCGTCCCTCCAATGTGAGGCTGTCAGCTGCATTCCCGCACCATCTCCCGCTCACACCCCATTCAAAAAGCAAGTGCTGGAGCACACGAGCCTTTCACAGGGGACCGCCTAGTCCCACAAGTCACAGTCACGGCCACGCAGGCAAAAGTGCCACTGTCAATGAAAACCAAAACACAGTTTCATTGGCAGAGAAAATAAACAAGGCCATTTATCTGTGTGAGCAGAAATGGGAAGAATGGGCACAGCCTGCAGCACCAACTCTGTTCTAGTCTATTACCTTCCTCCATCAGACGCAACCATCTGGTGCAAAGCTCTCCTCTGCAGCACAGACCTGGTCTCTGGCTATGGTCATTCAACGGTGGCCTCTTGGTTAGTCTCATCGGCCTTCATCTCCCTTCTCCCTTAGGTACATCTACTGGTGTTCACAAACCACCCAAGTGCAGACACTAGTGCCCCGAGTTGAAGGGCTAAACTCTGGACTCGCTCATTTCTCAGTGTCTGACTTATAAAAGGGGGAGGTGGCCTTTGCATCCCTCTTCGTACCCACTGCCTATCAGAGGGAAAAAGACCACCATGTCTTCTGACCGTCAACTGTTATCTGACACTACTGTGCTGTTATTTCCACTGTGTACATACTGTATGTTAGCGCGATCACGTGGTGGGGCGAGGGGAGGGGAGGAGAGGGTGTTTGATCCAAATGAAAGACTGCTCCTACTGGGTAAGGGGGCCAACCACAAAATCAACACAACCATTTCAAGGTGGTTATACCCAGTCCTAGGATGACGGAGTGGGGAACCGTACTGTGGTGCCATAGCCATGGCTGGTGGCCAGGGATCCTCTTCCAAAATGTTTGCACCTTCTCTTCCTCTAGGTCCCCATTACTTTCCACACAACTATCTTAACAGTCACGAACGTTCCCGGGGTGGAGAATCAAACAAAATCGAAATCGGGAGCCGAGAGAGATGAAAAGAACATCATCAGAAGTATCGTAGCTGCAGGTCCCGGCCAGAGAGCGAACAACCAAACACAGCCAGGGCACCACTCGGGAGCAGAAGCTCTCGGTTCCCGGGAAAACCAAGTCTGAAGGCAATTTCTTTAAAAAGCTTTGGACAGTTCGACCCTGGGCACCGGAAGCACAACAACGAGGAATGCTAGGTGACCAGAACCCGCCCACGGCGCTCGACCCGCCTACGAGGCATCGCGCGTCTCCGACGCTGATTGGCTGCGGCTGCAACAGGGCGGGACGAGGCCGAGGGCGGTGGATTCAAGATGGCGGCGGCTAGGAAGTGAATTCCGCAGAAGCGGCGGGAAGGGCAAGCACTTGGCGGCTCCCATTGCTCCGCCACCACCGGATTTGGCCAGGCAGCAGTCTGGGCGCCAGAACCTCCTTAGGATTTCTCTCCGCATCAAAGCGGAGAGAAGGACGCTACCTTGGCTCTTCCGGCCTCCACTTTCCTGCGCCGCTCCTCCTGCTCGTCTTCTTCCATCTCCGTCCGGGGCTCTTCGGGACTCGCTCGGAAGCGGCCGGGCAGCCGGGAAACTTCCCTCGCTCTATTTACACTCCCTCCCTTCACCCACTCGCCTCCCCACCCCCATGCACGCAACTGTCAGCACCGCCCCGCTGCACCGCCAATCCGGAGCCGTGTGCGGGCTTGCGCACGCGCGCTCCGGTGACGCTCCCGGGGCGGAGCGCCATCTTTCCGACCCTCCATTGGTGCCTTGACCGCTCCCACCCTCTTCGACAACACCAATAAGCGGGATGCAAGATGCCCGGGGCTTGCGGCTGGTAGTCAACTGTCCGGCGGGAAGGTTCGGGCAAACCGTTTCCCCGCGGCGGCCCTACCCGGCGCCCCCTCCCGACAGGAGGAGGACTCACAAGCGAGCGGCGGTCCAAGCCTCGGGTTCGCTCTCTCCACTCTCCGTGGATCTTGCAAAAGTCGCTTTTATGATCCGCTGTCGCCTTAAGCCCCACAGTTCTTCAGCATTGGTAGGACGCTAGCCTCCCCTTTAGTGAATTACTTGGTCCACTGCAGTCAGCCTGTAGGTTCACTTAGATTTCTCCTACACCCCTGGCCCTGCTTTGACCATTTCTGCCCCTCCTAAATACGGACCCCTGTCTAACACAAAAAACTTGGACTGGTGTCCCCAGTGGGCCCGGAGTTCCCACTGAGAAGGCCGTCCTGCACATGCACACTCTTCTATGCAGAGTCACAGTGTGCTCCGGCTCCCGACTGTGACTCCACCACCTCTACCTGGAAACAGCCTCCCTGGTGTAAGAAAATCAATCAGCTACGGTCCACTTTAAATAAGAGGCGCATTTAGAGCTCATCAAGGAGTCACAGATAATCAGATCAGGAAGGATCAGGCCCCTGTCTTCCCTAGCCAACAGCTGACGCCTGCTTGCCTGAGTTCTTTTTGTCTTTCATGGGCTGTTATGTGACTAAGCCAATGTATTTGAAAACGGAGGGGATCTTGAGTTCCAGAATAAGTGTTAGATAAGGCTTTGCATCCTGCATCAATAGGATGGGGAATCTGGAGATGGGGTAACTCCTGGTAGATTGTATCCCCTAAATGATTCAGCAATGAGGAATTCAGGTGCATGGAAATGCATTTAGGGTTATAAAAACTATTTTATACCAAATCTGCATGCCAGCCATTTTTACCTTCTCACCAAATAAATTGCTTCACTTTGATTACTCAGAACCTCCGGGAGTCTAATGAAGTGTTTCTCACACTGATGAAAATGGTGGCAGGGAGAGGTGTTCCCTCTGGGCTGACCTGTCCTTCCGGATATGTTGGTATCTTAGAGCAATGAGATTCTTTTTTTTCATATGGGATTTCTCTATGTAGCCCTGGCTGTCCTGGAACTCACTCTATAGACCAGGCTGGCCTGGATCCACCTGACTCTGACTCCCCAGTGCTGGTATTAAGGCGTGTGCCATTGCCAAGCAGAGCAGTATTTCTAAACTGTTTGGAGGGCTCACTTTATTAAAAACTGGGGAACTAGAGAGATGGCTCAGCAGTTGGGAGCACCAGCTGCTCTTCCAGAACACTCTCCCAGCACCTAATGGTGGCTCACAACCATCTGTAACTCCAGTTCAGGGGATCTGATGTCCAGCTCTAGCTTCTGAGGGCACTAAGCACACATGTGGTGCACATACATACACATAAACAAAACACGCACACACCTAACTATAAATCAAAAAAATGGAACTAAAATGATTATGTCATGTCTTTGTGTGAAAATAGCAGATACCCTCAGAGGCCAGAAGATGATATTGGATCCCCTAAAGTTGGAGTTACAGGCAGTTTTGAGTTGCCAGATGTGTGCTCTGGGACCTAAATTCTCGTGTGTGTGTGTGTGTGTGTGTGTGTGTGTGTGTGTAGAGCCCAGAGCTGGGTGTTGTCACTCAGGCTTATAGCCCCAGCACTTGAGAGACCCAGGCAGGCGGATCTCTGTTAGTTTGAGGCCACCCTGATCTCCATAGAGAATTCCAGGCTAGCTAACGCTACATAATGAGACCCTGTCTCAAAGAAGAATAAATATAAGAAATAAAAATGTCAGAAGCTGGAAAGCTGGTTTAGTGGTTTAGAGTATGTCTTAGTGGTAAGGTTGCTATAATGAAAGGCCATGACCAAAAGCAAGCTGGTGAGGAACGGGTTTATCTATCTGCTTTACACATCCTGAATCACACACAATCCGTTAACAGAAGCCAGCCAAGGCAGGAACTGAAACAGGTGGATCCTGGGAGCAAGAGCTGACGTGGAGCCAATGGAGGAGTACTGCTTACTGACTTATTCAACCTGCTACAGACCCCAGGTGTATCCCCTCAGCTCAGATGTATCCCCCCCCCCAATGGGTGGGGCCTCTCCATCACTCACTTATTAAGAAAATCCCTGCTGGGTGTAGCCGCGTATATCTTTAATCCCAGCACTTGGAGAGGCAAAGGCAGGTGGGTCTCTGAGTTTGAGGTCAGCCAGGGCTCCACAGAGAGACCCTGCCTACATAGAAACTAAAGACTTTCCTGCTTATAGCCTAATTTTATGGAGACATTTTCTCCTGGGGTTCCCTTCTCTCAGATGACTCTAGTTTGTACCAAGTTGGCATAAAACTAGGAGCCAGCGCTGATTGCATACTGCTCTTGCAAAGGACCAGAGTTTGTTTCCCAGCACCCATGAGGGCATCTCACAACTGCCTATGATGCCAGCTCCAGGGTGATTTAAATGCCTCTGACCTTGACAGCCCTAACTCACCTACAGGCTGACTGCAGTGGACCAAAAATTCACTAAAGGGGAGGCTAGCATCCTACCAATGCTGAGGAACTGTGGGGCTTAAGGCGACAGTATTAAGGTCTGTGGATGCTATCCGTGAGGGTGGCTGTGTGGTGTCCTCATTCTCCACTTGCCGAAAAGCAGGCAAGGCCATTCGGAGCCCTTGGCCTTGAAACTGTTACCTTTATCTACGATGGGAATAAAGGATTTGATGATGGACATTGCCTCCTTCAGCAGAACCTCCAAATTGACAATTTTGAAGATGTGGTTGTGCACTACACTAAGCAGAAATGGGTCAGGTGACACTCGCTCAGAAGGCCCTGAGCAGGGTTGTGATGCTGGAGGACTTTGCACAGAATGGGCCACACTGACACTTGCTCAGAAGGCCCTGAGCAGGGGTGTGATGCTGGAGGACTTTGTGCATGTTCCTTTCTGGGGTGCATCTCAAAACTGAGCAAATAACCAACCCCGCAACTGACAAAGGTCTGATCTCCAAAATATGTAAAGAACTCAAGAAACTAGACTGTAAGGGGCTGGAGAGATGGCTCAGTGGTTAAGAGCACTGACTGCTCTTCCAAAGGTCCTGAGTTCAATTCCCAGCAACCACATGGTGGCTCACAACCATCTGTAATAAGGTCTGGTGCGCCCTCTTCTGGCCTTCAGGCATATACGCAGAAAGATTATAGTATATATAATAAATAAATAAGTTAAGAAAAACAGTCTGGAAAGCTTAATAAAACATTTAAAAAAAAGAAACTAGACTGTAAAAGGCTAATCAACCCAATTATAAAATGGGGCACTGAGCTGAACAGAGATCTCTCAACAGAAGAAG